ATCAATCGAAAGCAGTTCAATGAAATACGTAACGTGGATAGTAAACAGTAGATATTGAAGTGATGTTCCAACGCCCCTTTAACACCAATATGTGGTCAACATCCTGGTCTAAATCCAGCTTGGTTAGGGGGCATTCCGCTATCTTATACTGCCCATAAGTCCATCGAGCAGAAAGAAAGCAAAAATTTTTGCCGTCTAGCAAGCTGATTCCTCGGTAATTGTTACAATGTATCCTGTTACCTTTCTTGATAATTGAGAATAGATTTGTTTTATTCCAGTTATCTGGTTATTATTTCTTTTCTGCAAGTCAGAAAGTATATTTGCTGAAGATGTGTTGTGAAGGACCACGGACATTTGAAGAGTTCAGCCAGGGGACAATCTTCTGGAGTTTTGTAGATCTTTAACTTCTGAATGACAGAGGTTATTTCCATTTTGCAACTGCAAACATATGGCCGAACGAGCGATTCAGATGTGAAACAGTAGGTGGCGTATAGCGGTTAATTTTGGCCTTAAAAAATCACCTTGTGGGGCGATCCTTAATAATCTTAACAGGCACACCAGTACCTTTCACTTATCGCTCTCCGAGTTGCTTTGTGAAGAAAACGGAATAATTTTCTGTCATCTAATCGAGCCATTATTTCCATTCTTAAGGCCATATCGCTCCAATAACGATTTCTGTCCCGCCATGCTGTTGTCTTTGTAATTTTTTGAAGCATCGATAGTCAGGATTTCCAGGCACCTTTGGCAAAATTTGATTGGACATTGGACATACCCAATTAGAGCATTTCCTACTAATATATCCTTGTATGGAATACTTTTGGATATTTTTCCCTTTCATGCCTTTGCCTTTAGTTGGGACCAGTATTCATTAGCCATACCAGACATATCACTGGATATTCATATCACTGAGGTGCTTCACTAGTTTGAAGTGCTCCTCGAAATCCCCGAATCTTTTAGTTTAAGATAAATGAAAAATCTTAGATGTCGTGTCTTGCGAATTATCAATTTTATGCAAATTTAGCTTGAACCATAACATGGTCTGATTCATGAAGATTACCACTTTCAACATTACGATATGAACTATCTGTTATGGAACTTTTCAAACGGCAATTGACTAAGATATATCAATTTTTCTCTAAGACATTAGAGGTGGTCCGAGATATTTAAAGTCTGACAATTCGTTGATGAATTAATATGAAATGCGATCCTATTAGCATCTGGTATGAATGGATTTCTGCTTCACTGACATCGAGTTGAAGAATAAAAACTACCCAGTCTAGCACCTCCAGTCTCTCATGGCTATCAACTAAAGTTAAAAGAGATCATCAACATGTTTGAGGTCCGTGGTATGTTTTGGATCGACTTCTACTCGTTATTTTTCTTAGTCATCCGATTTTTATAAATCCAAACGATGTCCATAGCCGAGTTTCTCGCACAGTTGAAAATTGTGGGAGAGAGAGCAACCTTGACTTCAATTTAAAAAGTTTTTTCCATATACTTCAGCTGACGTACATCGATAAAATACTTTGATAAGTTTAAATAATTTCTCTGGAAGAACATTGTGTTGTTGTATGATTTTTCCAGAGCACACCGCCCTGTCGATCGAATCAAAGGCAATAGCAAAGTCGATGAAATATGTAACGGTAGGCCGATAATATTTGAAATACTCTTCGCAACATGAAATTTGGTCATAGCCACAGTTTTAGTCTAAATGCGGTTTGATTAGAATGCTCTCATTCATTGGCATAAGTCTGTTCAGCAAAAAAGAAGCAAAGAACTTCCATCTAGCTAGATAGTTCCTCGATAACTGTCGCAGTAGCTATTATTTTTTTTTGAGAATTGCGAGCAGAGTTATCTTTCTTTAGTTACATGATATTGCTTCCAGGCTAATCTAATTATAATTATAATCTCTGGTGTTGTGAAGGGCGTTGGGCAGTATATTTGGAGGTTTTGGCCCTGATCCATCTTCTCCGGGGGTCTAATTTAAGCTTGCAAGTAATTGCATTTGCAATCATACTGTTCCAAATGTTTTCCAGTCATGTCCAGGATGGCCCTTCGTAGTTAAATTTAGATTAGAAACTCATTCCATAGCGATGAAATGATCTTTGATAGTTTTTATGGGATTTTCATCTTTACTTCGGATCATTTCTGACCATTTCTCCAGTTGCCTTGCGAAGTACAAATAGAACATTTTTTGACGATCGCCTAATCACGGTGCTGTCACTATATTTGAAATCATTATCGTTTGACCGTTGCCATTCTACAGGCGTTGATAATTAGTACCTCATGATGTGCGCATTCTGGAAATGCAATCTGAATCCTGTCGTTCACCATCCAACTTGCTTTCTTCCGAGGCGTGAAGTTTCAGGCCGACTTAGGAAAGTGAAATTTTCTGAAAGTGAAATTACTACTAGAGGCAGAACATATCGGGAATTTCGGTATTGTTGCTATTATTAAAATCCTTTAGGTGAACCTCACATTGGAATAGAAGATTGCCTTTGAAAGATTGTCTTTTAACTTGAGATAATTAATTGGGATATGTTTTGGGATATGTTCTCAGTTTCATTCGTATCTTGCCTCCACCATAGCGTGATGCCGTGAAGGCTGTCAGTTTCGGCTGCATGGTATTCAATTTAATTTATGTGTGTCTGGTGAATTCCACTTAACTAGATGTCTTCTCTAATGTTGAAAATATGTTTTGATAGTGAAAAGAATCCTCGGAATAGCAAAAAAGAGTTTCTCCAAGTTGGCATATCCAGTCCCAATACCATTCTGACCACAGAAGATGATGAAGCATCTTAACATTTTACGGTAGAATTCCAATTTCCAATTATTTCATTTTTTGGGAGAAATGTTATTAACAAGTTAAGCCTGGAATAAAATCTCGAGATCATCCGTGCATAACGCAAGTGCACAAGCTGTACTGATATCTGAGATGTTGCAAAGGCATATCTTGCCTTTAAAGCGGGCATAGGCCAACTGGTCATTACAGGGTTTCATATGATTAAAGATGGTCATGCCCTTTCGGAATGACAATAGCGACTCCATTTCTCTCTGATTTATCACAATTATCACTTTGATTTTATCACAATTATCACTTGCCTCCGAACCAGTTATAATTGTTGCTCTAGACCTAGAATTAAGAATAAGGATTTCTGAAAAGCGAATGCAGAATGTGGTCTACCTCTTTAATCCACAAACTTTCTGGCGTTCTACGCAGCCACCACAGCTAAAGCGCCGACATACAGAGCCGGATATTCATCCGACTTCCTGAAGTAAGGTAGAATAGTTAACTCAGCTCAAAAACTTTTAATACATTTTAATATTAATTAATATTGTTGTTACCATATCCAAGCATCCACACATTTATCGCATGTTCCACCGGGTTAAGAATACCATGGAATGCCAATATAGAATTAACTATAAAATTGTAAGCAGGAAAAGATTTTTTTTAGAGGTAATCTGAAGAATACTTAACCTAATACTTTATATATTCAAAAATGACTTTACAGACTTTACTTGACTTATCACGAAACTTGAAGAATCTGAAGAATTTTCCAAGAAATATAATAGCTTAATCGATATCATGATTAGAAAATATGAGAAATAGATGATGATCGCCAAGGCGACCGCGCACCATTTATTCCATAATATGTATTCCTATTTATTTTAATATGTCGATCCTCCTTAATTAATTTTAAATCACTTCTTAATATTAAGAAATTATGATAGAACAATGTAAATAAAAAAGTGGTAGTATTAAATAATATCATATGTGATATTTAAACTAAAGGTGAAAAATTTATTGCAATTCAGATATTGCCATGTAGAATTTTATAGGTGTAAAGCAAATCATGCTCTATTCTTCTAATGTGCGACGAATGCAGCTGGTAATTTTAATTTTGTAATATTAATTAATTAATTAATAATGAAATTAATCAATAAAGTAATTAATTTTATCAATTAATAGAATCACCTATAGGTCTATCGAGATTTCGATGATTCAGGAAATCCTCTCAGTGATGGAAAAAAATCCAGGAATTATATTCCAATACTGAACGAATAATTTAATACAAAAAGTAGTTTGATCAAAAAACTTAACCTTAAAGGATCTAAATATTAAATTCATTTTCTATAAGTTCTTTATTAAAACCAAGCTACGAATGGTAGAAGTTTTTATCAGCTGTAACCATTAACTATCGAAGTATTGAAACTTTGCTCTCGAGAATTAAGAGATTGTTGTTAGTGTATGGTAAATGTAACATTCTTGATTACATTTAAATCTACTGGCTCACATTTACTGGTAGGAAGAGAGATTTGTCTTTAAAGCTATATATTCTTGAAGCTTGTCAGCAATTCTATTTAAATTATCTTACAAAGGGGCTAATTTGTTCTATCGATTATGTGCGTAGCAAATTTTATAATCATTTTCATGAAAAGATGAAAGATAGAATTTTTAATGAAAATTAGAGGCCAATAAAAATACCTATATTTATTATTATCATTATTTTTGTTATCACCAATTAATACTTTATCAATATTATTACTATTTACTATTACTATTATTATTAACATTATTATTATCATTATTATTATAAGTATTATTATTACTATCATTATTATTATTCTTAAAAATATTGTTGGTGACCTCATCAAAAAATTTTTTGGTTTTTTAAAACCAATTATTTCGAGGATAAAAATTAATAATTAATAATTATTGAAAATGGGTTGCTATTCTCATTTCGGAGTGCTGACACTGCGGTTTTACATCTGACGGGAATAAACTCTTAATATTCGAAGTAGTGCTGGCGACTCATCTGTGCTTCTAATTACTTCATTTATTATTGCGAAAATGAATACTAATTAGAACAAATAAAAGAACTGAAAAACTATCAGTTAACTTATGAATTCATGAATTGAAGAGGAAATTAAGTATTCATACGAGCGATTGAAGTAAACGAGCCTCAGCTAAATACAACGAATAGGAAACCTATTGGTGGATGAAGTTAATTCAACTGATTAAATCTTGCTACAAGAGGAAAAAATTAAACGCTGGAACTGTCCAAAACGATTCAAATTTCGTTGATTCCAGTAAGGAACGAATCTTACGAGCCAATGATCGTGCATTTAATGAACGATTTAATTACGCGGTAAGTTAGGAAATAAAACAGAGTATGCAATCTAATACTTTCTCTAGATTAACTTGCGTAAAATAAAACTCATCCCTATAGGGTGGAAGTACAGTTGGATCCTGAGCATTAGCATCCTCATTTCTAATGATAAATTTGCTCCTGTTAAGAGATAGGAATCGAAATAGGATGAAATACGAATCAAGATGACTTAAGTCAAAGGAATATCTTAATCGATTATCCTACCTACAATTTTAATCTCTAAAATATCTCAGTTAGTAACTGTCTATATCATTTGAAAAATACATTAAATTGATAAAAAATCCTCAGATCGATTGTACCCTTTCGTTTGATTATTATTAATGTCGAAAAATGGTTTTGAAAAATCCACATCATAAATTCAGTCCCCGATAAATGGCAATTTGGAAAAAAAAGATCCATGCAGAAACATCGGAAATTTTCAATTATTCGCAATTTGCAGGATAATTACATTCGCACATCAAAATACAACGTGATAACTTTTCTACCGCTCAATCTTTTTGATCAGTTCCAACGTCTTGCCAATTTTTATTTTTTAATGTTAATGATATTACAGGTAGTTTTCTTCATCGCTTATTTCATAACAGCTTATATTAGCCTTTACTGCTAACCTTTATTTCCTTTTATTCTTCTTTTTGCCATCTAACAGCATTTACGGTTTCTGGCTTTTTTTTCGCTGTTGCTCGAGGAAACACCCTTTTAACTAAATTGGAACTGGGAAATAATGATGGGTTCCAAACACTATTTGGGCCTTATATTATTGCTTTATATTATTTAAAATTTTCTGTTGATTGTGCTGATTATCGTTTAAATTTATCTTTAAATATTTTTATTTGCTTTTTTTGCAAATTTTACTATATAATTTGCTATTCATTTTATATTAAAAACTATATCAGGAAAAGTTTATAATCATATATCGAGAAATCATATTAAATATCAATTTTCCAGTTAACTATTTAGATTCATCATAAATGAATTCTTTTACTAGGTATGATGAATTTCAAAGAAATATATTTCAGTTAATTCCATGGATAAGTTCAATAGTTTGGTACTCAACTGCCGTTCCGTTATTTACTGTACTGGCATTCAGTGCTGTGAAAGATGCTTATGATGATATAGTAAGGATAAACTAATATTAATAAATTTTTTAAATTTCTGGTAGTTGAAAAATATTTACGTTTTCCTATCACTTAGAAATATGATATGTTTTCTCTCGTTTATTTAATATTTACGATTCTCAAACATCGATTTTGAGAAAGACAAAGGTATAAAATATTATTGCAAAGTATATAAAATATTGAAAAGATTTGCAATTTTTTTGGCTATAATCTTTCATGATTTTCAATAAATTTTAAATTTCAGCAAAGGCATCGTAGCGATAAGCAGGTTAATAATCGGATATCATGGGTCGTTCGTGGAGGTCGTCTTGTGGATGAAAAATGGTTGAACGTCAAAGTTGGAGATGTAATTAGGATGGAACGTGATCAGTTTGTTGCTGTAGGTTCATAATTTCCCAGAAAATTTTATTCTGGCCTCATTTTTTGGCGAAATCTTTGCAGAGTTATTTTGGCCAGTTTTTCTCTGGAAGAGTTAGGTAGTCTTCGATTTCTGAAAGAAAAGAGATAAACATTTACAGTTATTAAATTTTCTGCACTTATTTCAATTTGTTTTTGTGTGTGTTTTTACAGTAGAAAGTCAATTAGAAAGGTATTTTGTGGGAAAGGGTTTTAGAGCACCTTTCCTCTATTATAACTTAACAAAATATTTCCGAAAAAAAATTAAATTTTTAAATTTTAAATTTTAAGCAAGATTTTCCCATCTTCTAGGCTGATCTTCTTCTTTTAACAACATCTGAACCACACGGACTGTGCTATATCGAAACATCTGAGTTGGACGGTGAGACTAATTTAAAAGCACGGCAAGCATTGCCTGAAACATATCAGATGGGTGACAAATTGGATGAAATGAGTAATTTCAGAGGTTTTATTTCGAATATTTATCTTATCTTAAAAAAAGACGCTTTAAAGTGCTTATGTAAATATCGTATGAATGATAATCTACCTATAATCTATGCATGATTGTGACTTTTCGCGGTTATTTGAACTACTATTTCAAATTTGAACTAAAGTTGTATTATGAACATTAATCGTAGATTTAAGTTAAAATTTAGTTAAAATTAATTTTGTCAGAACTTATTCTCGACAGGAAAAAATCAAGTAAATCTTCATTGCTATCTTCAGGAGAAATTCGTTGCGAAGGTCCGAATAATGATTTGAGTCGTTTCAATGGTAGTTTAACAATAAATGGAATAGCTTATCCTCTCGATAACGAAAAAATGCTATTGAGGGGTTGTAAGCTTCGAAATACGCGATGGTGTTACGGTGTTGTTGTTTTTGCAGGTATTTCACTTTCTTTTTTTGCGACCCAATAGAAATTTACTGCATTTTAATTAGTTTAAGAAATAAAAAATAATCTTCCAAGATTCTACTAATTTTCTTTGTCTGAAGGTAGAGATACTAAACTTATGATGAACAGTGGAAAGACGAAACACAAGCGGACAAGCTTGGATCGGTTCCTCAATATTCTCATTATGGGTGTAATTTTTTAATTTTTTCAATTATGATTTTCAAATAGTAGTATATTAAGATTATACCAGCTAAAATACTTGTGAAACATATCCAGATTTCCATAAAATGAAATTTTTAGATAGTTCTTTTTTTAATATCGATGTGCCTTATATGTACAATTTTGTGCGGGGTGTGGGAACGAACGACGGGACGTTATTTCACGATTTATCTTGAATGGGATCGTTCAATTGTTCCTAAAGCTGAGGAGAGATCATCGCAACAAATTGTTATTATTGCCTTTCTTATGTTTTTCTCTTATGGGATTCTGCTAAATACGGTGGTACCAATATCGCTTTATGTTAGGTTTGTAATCATTGTTTTTTTATTTAGAGAATAAAGACTATAGATACTGCGGTGCTTCGGTGAAATTCATATGGTAATAAATTAGACTTCTTCTAACATCACTCACCATTAGGCTGGCTTCAATGGCTACAAGGGTAAGATTTTCCAAGCAGCGCAGTCTGACTTTTCTGATCGTATCAGTCCAGGTATTGATTGGCCTATCTCGCTTTTGACACCACCCATTATACGATTTATCAAGTAATGAAATATGCATCAACTCCTGTGGCGGACGATGTGACCTAAGCAGCGAAGGTGACGCTTTGTAATAATATTATTGAAGTGGTATTTGAACGAAGGTGGATCGTGTGACATTTTATTCGCTCGATGGATCCGTAAAATGTAGACAGGAGTGCTCAAAGGCAGATAATTTAACGAATTTAACAATCACAGCTATATAGATGCGTTTTAATGGTGATTTCACGACTGCTCCATAAAAGTTTCGTCAACATTTCTAGCTGCCGTGATCCGATAATGTCGTCTTTTGCCTGGCTATTTGGTATTAGAGTGGACCCAAAGTATTTAAAATGGTGCACTTCCTCAATCGGAAATGAATTTATAAAAAGAGGCATTTTATCAGCTTCTTGCGCATAGGACCAAAAAGCACTTTCGTTTTATTTACATTCATTCAGAGTCCGATTGATAAATAAGAAAAGTCCAGAAGAAATCGATTAAATCGTTTATTTTTTATTTGAATGAAAAATCAAGCAGAACAATAATCAAGTGCGTTTATATCAATAATATAACAAATAGTTGATAAAACATGATTGATAAAAGAAGAACAGTGCAACAACATATATATAGGAAATAACAAGGAAAATTTCGTGCTTATTACGTGATTGTTATGATGACTTTTTAAAATTAGACTCTGCTGGTGCAAATATCACATCTGAAGGTATATTTTGATTAATATCGGTGCATTTGTGCAAAATCAGCCTTCAGCCGGAATGCAAAATAAATAATTTAGCAAATATAGAAAAATAAAAGATTAGAAATGCAGCTCAATTCAGTTACCTGCCACACGAATTTTATTTGTTTTCTTAAACGATACCTCAAACTTGGATAATTAAATTTTTTGTTGAATTTGAAAAATCATTTTAAAAAAGTGGACAAAAAAACTCAAGCGAATCAATTTGCATTCCGACTGAATTTGGTGAGTAATAATGTCACTATAACATTAAGCGATTGAAAAAATAATGAATTAAAATAAAATAATGTAATTAACGAATCAATATTGGCTGTTGCGAATCCCCGAGCGCAAGGAATCCATCGTCCACATGATTGTGAGGTCAATTTCAACATTGCATTTTATAGAGAGAGGATCAGTTAGCCAAAATGAAGAAAGAAATTGACCTCAGCAATCATGTGGACTAGGCATGAACCATGTGAACTATTGACAAAAAGTCAATCAACCTATGAAGATACTTAGAGTAATTAACGAATTTATTTTACGAATCATAAGTTCATGGATATGGAAAAATGTTATAATAAATAATAAATTTTAATAACCAGCTTGGCCAACTAAATTTGAAACACTAAATTTTATAAGAAGAATGAAGGCGACTATGAAGTTTCCTTCCGAAATGAAATTCGAAAAATACTGACAGCAAACCAGATTCAATTTGCTTAGAAAATTTCTGAATGAATTTACACAATTAAATACTTTAATTTATACAGTAATTTCTATGAACCAAACCTAGGCAATGCGCATATTGAGCACCGATGCAATATTTGGAGAAGGATTTATCAACATTGCAATTTTTACTTGCTTTTTATTTGTTTCTTATTTATTTATTTTATTTATTAATTATTTATTTCTTTGAAGAAAAAATCTTTTAAAATTTCTTTAAGTGGCTTTTTAGTGTTGAAATTATACGATTCTTCCATTCAATGTGGATCAATTTCGATTGTGCTATGTATTATGAGAAGGTATCTATAATAAGTTAGGATTTATTTCGAATGAATTCAATTTTTAGAATTTTGGGAAAAAATTATTTAAAATAATCAGTGCCGCGACAGCCAAATCAGAAATTTTGACTGCTCTTAGTATGATAAGAAATAACTTTCATAACATATTTCAGCAAATTAAAATTGGTTATTAGCTTAAGATTTTTATTAATTTAATTAATAAATTAATAATTTATTGAGTGTACGGGTTTTTTACTGACAAATTTTTAGGGTGACGTGGCTGCGAGAGCTCGAACAACAACACTTAATGAAGAACTCGGACAAGTGCAATATATATTTAGTGATAAAACTGGAACGCTTACACAAAATATTATGGCTTTTAATAAGTGTTCAATTAATGGGCGTTATTACGGAGATTTATATACATCATCTGGCGAAGTGATTGAAATAACTGAGGTATTAACGATTCATTCATTACACTTATATCTATTGATTTTCTGGAGTTTTTGTATTATGATGATAATTTTTGGAAGATTGTGGATTCAAAAATATTTGCAGGATATTCCAACAATCGATTTGTCGTCGAACAAATGGCATGAACCTCACTTTAAATTTTATGACCAGGCACTTTTAGATGATACTAGAAATAAAATACCGGAAGTAAATTTGACTCTTTTCCGATTTTTTTTTTCAAAACTAAATCTCTTTTTCTATTGAGTGATTTGAAAACGAAATATGTGAAATTTTGGTAATGTTTAAATCCATAACTTATTCAAATAGGAAATACGTAAAATTTTCAGGTAATGGAGTTCTGGAGGCTTCTTGCTTTGTGTCATACTGTGATGCCAGAGCGTGGGCCAAATGGTTCATTAGTGTATGAGGCTCAAAGCCCCGATGAAGCAGCTCTGACTTCTGCTGCTCGTAATTTTGGATTTGTTTTTAAAACGCGCACAGCAAGAACAATAACTTTGGAAGTTGATGGTGTTGAAGAAGTTCAATTTTTTTCTTTTAATTTAATTTTAATTTTCAGTACAAAATTTCTGATTCTTCCGCGATCTAGTGCGAAAAATTTTTATTTTTATTGTACCTTTTAAATAATGATAGGTGATTAATTATCTTACAATAACTTTAGGTATACGATTTATTATGCATTCTTGATTTCAACAATGTTCGAAAACGGATGTCTGTTATCGTGCGAAATGCAAATAACGATATAATGTTGTACTGCAAAGGGGCTGATACGATGATATTTGAACGGTCAGTAAATCTGGAAAATTATCTATTCTGTAGGCGTGAAAATGATATAGTGTTACGAATGCTTCAATTGTTTCAACTGAGGCAAAAGTTCGACCTTTATCTCTTGCTGAAAGTAAAGTAAAATTAAATCGAAAATAATGAATATTGTTAGAGGAAAAAGTTTCTTTTATCCATATAAATACCGACATTAACCATGTTATCAATGATATTATGGCGGTAATGATATGGTAGTAACCTGCCTGTATTATTGTTCCCCGGTAACTATAGAAGCCTTCGTGAACCTAAAGTCAGGCAAATTAGAAATGGTAATGAGAGGAAAAGTTTTATATAAAAGATATTTTATTGAAGAGCATAATATTCATTCATACCATATGAGGATTATAACCATTATCATCTCTCATATTTTTCTGCGAATAATTTGTCAGCAAATCAGTTGATGTATGTGATAAATGCAATGATTCTCTTACTTAGATATTTACTTAAACTAGATATTGGAGTGCAGTGGTTCAGATGAAGATTTGTTTTGAGTAAATCTTAGTTCTTCAATTAGTGTCGGGAAAAAAAAGAAAAAAATTTTCCTAAAATATTTTTTCGGATTGCTGCTGGGGACCTGTATCTCCATCCCCAAGTGACTCTATGGTGAAAGGGTCAGGTCTCTTTAACGCGACATCCTCGTTTTCAGACGTGCATGATATGTCGTATATGCGATAAACATAAATCCGGGCGTAATAATAATAAAACAATTCAGGCGTGAGCACAGAATATGCTCGCAAATCGAGATAATTACTTAAAACAAACCCGTCAAGGAATTATCAGCTAACACTTTGTAAGCGCGACGAAATGCTGGCTATAGCTGCTTGGAACATCAGAATGCTTATGGATGTTGCAAGCAAAGCGATTACTGTCCACACCCTTTCTAAATATTTCGTTTTCCTCATGTCGGCTCTCGAATAATTTTTAAACCTGGTTCCGAGCAAAGATATTGGCTATATCACTGTGTTGGATAACTCAGAGAGAAATGGCTTAGCGATTGTCATTTCTGAAAAGGCTCGATTCGCTCAAATTGAATGGAAATCAGTAAATGACCGTATGGCCTATGCGCAGAAAGTTCAAGGGAAAGTTCTACAATATTTCGGTCATCAGCATCTGTGCTCCAACTTTATGCGCAGATGATCGCGACAAGGATAGTTCTTTGCGGAACTTTAACTGTTAACAACATCTCTACCGAAAGATGACATGGTAATAATCGAGGAAGACTGGAATGTGCACATAGGTCATGATGCCATTATACGGTGAATTCGGTAATTGGTAAATATAGCTTCGGAATGCAATGGTAATAATGGTAAAGACGTGTCAGCAACTGCAACGAGAATCGGATTTAGAATCAATGTAAATAAAACGAAAGTTTTTTCGTCTTATATACAAGAAGCTGATAAGATGCTTCTTTTTATAAATTCATTGCGGCTTGAGGAAGTGCTTGATTTTAAATATCTTGGATCCACTCTAATTCGAATGGTCAGAAGACAAAATTATAACAGGAAACTTGGATAACAGCAGCTAAAGATACGTTCTTCCCGTTAACGAAACATTTATGGAGCCATTGCAGAATCACCATAAAGAAAATGCGCGTCCATATAGCGGCAGTTCGATCAATTATGCTATATGACTGCGAAACATGGCCAATAAGAGTGGAAGATGTTAATAATAATATATTAATAAGCTATCAACCTTTGACCACTGTCTAAGGTAAGTATTTTACGGATCCGTTAAGCGGATAAAATCGCGGGTGATTATATCCATCTTCGCTCAAATACCACCTGTATTAATAATGTTATCATAGAGCGTCGCATTCGCTGGTTAGGGCCGTCGTCCACCACAGGAGTTGACGCATATTTCGTTATTTAACCCTGAGATGGTTGGCGCCAAAAGCGATGAAGGCCAGTCAGGACCTGGACCGATACAATCAGGAAAGATTTTGAACGCATAAGGGGACCAATGATATATGGACTTAGGCGATTGAAAAAGGAATGGCTTCTATTATTACTAGCGATGGTGGCGGATCGAGCAGCTTGGAGGCATCTTACCCTTATTGCCGCTGGAGCAAACCTAACCAGTAATGGTGAGAGCTGTTAGAAAAAGAATAATAATAATTCAGCAATAATCTTGCACTTTCCTGTACATTTTAAAAATGCTAATCAAATTTCGCACTTTTTAACTATACTCCTTTTTAATATGCCAAATAGTTCGCTGAATTCCATTCATTTATTCATTGGTAAAATGCCCTAAACTTTTGTTATATGTTATTAACGCTAAAGTCTTCTCTATAGCCGTAAAGAGAATAAGCTGACTTAATCAATTCATGGTCATAATTTACTTAGAACGAATATCCTTAAATTATGCAAATATGCGAGCTAATTCGAGATTGATTCTATGAAATATTCAGTGAAAATTTTGCGATGATGCGCACTTAAGTCCAAATCTCCCGAATTCCATTTACGAATGATAATATTGCGAAAAATTCTACTCAAATAAAAATAATTAATTATTTTGAAGATTGGCGGATGATACGAATTCATTATTAAAATCGGCAACAATGCGACATTTGGATAAATTTGCTGGCGATGGCCTACGAACACTTTGCTTAGCGAGAAAGTCAATTAGTGCGGCGTATTTACAAAGCTGGCAGGTATTACGGTATTGTATAATGCTTTATTGCATGAATATGTTCGACTTAAAGCGTTGAAATATTTTAGAAAAAACAAAAAAAGGCAGTCGTTGATCTGGTTAATCGTGAGCAAAAATTACATGATCTTTATGAAGAAATCGAAATGGGTATGGAATTGCTTGGTGCAACTGCAATTGAGGATAAATTGCAAGACGGTGTGCCGGAAACAATTGCAAAGTTATCTAAGGCCAATATCAAAATCTGGGTTCTAACTGGTGACAAACAAGTAAATCAATAAACATTGATTACTTTTTCAACATTTTTTGTGAAATTGTAAAATGTTTTATAGGAAACTGCTATAAACATCGGTTATTCATGTCGGTTATTAACTGAAAATATGAAGGAAGTTTTTGTTATTGATGGTGAAAATGAACGCGAAGTGGAAGTCCAATTAAAAGCTGTACGGCGTCGTTTGGAAGAAGCTTTTGGTCCGGTAAGTTTTATTTTTATCTCTTAAATACTGTTTTTTTTGCATTTTGAGAGAATCAGCGTTTTGTCTTGCATTTGTCTTATTATGCCACGATTAGTAAAAATTATTTCCTCAGATCCGGTTTTTGACTTCATTTGTTTGGACACAAATGACTCCGTTCGTTTATTTCGTCAAGGATTTTCACTCCTCATTGATTTGTTGATTTTGACTGATATTGACTGTCATATCGCTTATTCATTGATTTATTTAAATAATGATAATTAATATCTAAATTCCAAAATAATAGATTCAAATTCATTGAAAAAAAATTAATAATGAATATTTGTGTGAAATCGTTGGGCAAATGCCATAAGTAAATAACTTAGCGCCTATTCTTATGTCTAGGCTCATTCCATATTAGGCTTTTCATACAGTCATAACTTTTAAAACATGATTTTTATTCTAAAAATTTCAAAATTTTTATAAAAATAAGATATTATAATAATTAAAATCAAGAAAGATAATATATAATCTCTTTATTTCTTTTGGGATAACTAATTGTAATAAGCCATTCACATCAGATTATTACACTATAAAACTGATTACTGATAAAGAAAAAAAAGAAAAGAAAAAAGATCGAAAAAATTAAGTAGAAAATATATTTTAAATATTGTTTGAAGCAAACTTTCGAGGCGTCGAAATCGTTGATTCAATATATTTGGGAAATGGTTCGTATAGTTGAAGAAGCAGAAGGGAAAGAGGAGAAGAATAATGAAGATTTTACTAAGAGAAGAACGAGTAAAGTGGCAATTTCGCCAGCAAATTCCATAGCTGAAATGGATGGTGGTGATTCCGACAAGGTGGATTCCAACTTTGCTGAAACATTTATCATAATGGGAAAGGCTTTTCGAACGCATATCCATATATATATATAATACTATCTGTAAATATATAAAGAAATATTATAAATATCAAATCTCGCTCATTTGTCTCATGTTTCGAATGAGTTATTAATTCAAATAGTTTTCTAAGCATAATGTTGACGTGGAATATTATATTAGTTATTTTACACATAATTTCATTTTTCTTCATGTTCCTTTTAATTAAATTTGTCGTTACTTATTTGCTTGCTATAATTTTGAGTGAAATTTAAGCTTTTCATCGAGTTAATGCTTGAAGGAATGATTGATCATTTAACAAAATGCCTAAGAATTTTAATATCGAAGGATATTTGCTTGATTAACATCGATTAGCTTCTTTTATTCCTTATCGGTTATCCCTTTAGTCATTCTTTTGCAGTTAAATCCTTTATGGACGACATTGTATAGCATAGTTATCTCAAAAAATAGTTTTTCTGGGGTGAATTTTTAATAAAGTGGTTTTCTCTAAAAAATACAAGCACAGATAATTTCTGATGTTTTTATAATAGAGTGACAATCTTTATTCTATTCAATTTGGAAAAAATTCATCGAGTAACTTAATAGCGTAAAGTACCATCTGAGAAACATTTGTAACCACTTGCATTAATAATATTATCACAAAGCGTCGTCTTCGCTAATTAGGGCACGTTCTCCATCGTCTACCGCAGGAGTCGACGCATATTTCGTTATTTGCTAAACCGTGTGATGGTTGGCATCAAAAGCGAGATGGGCCAATCAAGACCTGGACTGATACGGTCAGAAAAGATTTTGAACGTATAGATGGAGCTTAGACGATAGAAAAAGGAATGGTTCTATTGCGCTGATGCCATCAGATTATGCTGTTTGAAAACGTCTTACCCTTGCAGCCGTTGGAGCCAGCCTAACTAGTAATGGTAAGAACTATTAGAAGAAGAAACATTTGCGACTTTGCGTGTTCTACGAATTTCATCAGGTAAAGAATGCAACGACAACACCGAATAATGAAAGTGCATCTGAAAGCAGTAGTCATGAGGAAGCGGTAGAGTGGAATATAGAAATGGTGAATTTAGAAAAGTTACAGTATAGCTAAATATCTTATAGTCCTTCAAAATTATACTGCACCTGAGGCTTATAGTCCTTTAAAAAATTGATGATTTTCTATGCTGTTTGGTCAAAACTTATTCAGAATACTGAATATAAATGCTAAAAAAGTTGATCATGAGGTGCAAATAATATTCCATTATCTTTAATCTGTGGTAATGCCAATTAAGGCTAGGGACCCAATTTGCCGAAGAACGCTTCAATACGCTTCGCAATTTGCAGGAAAAGGACCATTTTTGAGCAAAATTGCTACTTCCTATGAAAAATGGTTACTTTATGATTTTTCTAGTCAAAAACTATTTCATCGGAATTGCAGTAACTAAAGGTTTAATCCTTCTTATATTTCAAAAAATATGCCGGAAAATGAAAGGGTTTGTCTGAGGAATTTAGTCGACCTTATAGCCCTGACATTGGCTCTTCTGGTTCCTGGTTATTCATAAATTAAGAGGCAGATATTCGGATACTATCTCAAACAGGATTAAACCTGCCATTAAAAAATCTATGGGAAAAAAATCCATTTGATGATGATATAAAAAACAGTCGATAAATCCAGAAACTCGAGCTTTAACAAAAAGAATTTTCGCAAAATAGTTTCTAGGTAGGAAAAATTTGTTGAAAATAATGTTACATAATTAACTGATATTTAATTTTTTATTGATATTTCTTGATATTGAAATTTTTTAATAAAAAATTATGCAACATTATTTATTTGATTATCTGTTATATTTTATCGTCATTGGATATTAAGATTGGCTTTTTAGTATAGAGACACCTGAGGATTGAATAAAGGTAGCTATAGAATCACTTTCAATGGTATATTTATTGCCATCAAGAGGTAGAAATCAAATCCGCGATGTCTTGGCCAAGGAAAATACCATTCGAATCCCACAGTTCCCAAAACTATTGTAATATGATTAATTTTAAATCCTACAAAATAGTTTGCTTATGATTTTTTATTTTTATTTATTTATTTACTTAAATTTATTTTCGAACTTTCCACTTTCAACTATGAAAAGAGCATATTTTTTTTTATGTGTTTTAATATCTAATTTTTTCAAAATTCATTTCTATTAAAATTTGTCCTTCCATATGAGCTGGCTTTATATTTATAATCTAATATTTATAATATTTAGCATTAATATTTAATGAAGTGCACTATTCTTTCCATAAAGGTCGATTTGCACCCATCGTGCTTAAACTTTTGAATTTATTAAATTTAAGTAACAAAGGGGTGTATATTATTTAATATTATTTAATAGCCATTACATTGCAATTTTCCATTTTTAAGAATCATTTCAATAACTAAGGCTTTTAACAAAGTTGATTATATTGATTATGTTGATTATGTTAAAGTTAATTATGGCATTTTGTTTGATTATTTGCGAGGCAATGTGAATAGTGCGTTAAAATGTTACGATATGCTTGAGGTGAAATACTTGAGAACAATTTGCTTAATATCTAAATTTCCACTGATAATCAATTAAAGCAATCTTTTATTATCTGTAGGAAATGAAAATAGACCTAAATGAAAATAATTTCTTATGAATGTTTTTAACAGAATTTCGTTGAGTATCAATAATGCTTACTAATTTTGTCCATTATTATTAATTATTAAGTATTAGAAAATTATCGCACTAATGCCTTAATTTTCATAATGATTAAGAAGAATAAGCGAATAAAAAATAGCAAAATTATGTTAATTTAGAACAAAAAATCTATTATTGTGAATATTATTGCGTAATATAATATTCCATAAGTGAAATCTATAAAATTAAGGAAGCTGTTTCCGGCAAGGAGAATGATTATCGATATGCTGATATTGCTTATATTGAACCAATAGATAATGATTATGTTTCTGATAACTATTTAACAACTGAAAGACAAAATCAAGGTTTACATAAATTTTTTCATATTTGTTTTTATACATTAAGGTAGAGTTCGTTTATTACTCGTTTATTATTTGCTTACAGGTCCGACTGGTTAAGATCTATTCGAGGCAGTTAAGCACAGAAGGACATTTAGCATCACCAACTGGATCTTATGACAGTTACATCCCTAGTCATATAGTAGAAATCAAACTATCTTTGTCTAATCTTTCAATTTTTTGATAATGGTGTTCAAAAATTTTTTAGACGGAAATCTCGCAAACCATCATATTTTTAAAGATGAAATCGATGGATCAGGTGGATTTGCCCTCGTAATTAATGGCAATTCGTTATCATTTGCTCTTGAAGAAAATCTGGAAAAGGCATTTCTTGATATAGGTTGCCTTTGTCAGGTATAAATGATATAGGATGTTTGAGAAGGATGTAAGGATGTATAATAAATTATTTTAAATTTTAGGCAGTATTATGCTGTCGTGTTACACCGTTACAAAAAGCACGAGTCGTGAGTTTAGTCAAACGAAACAAAAAAGCAGTTACTTTATCAATAGGTGACGGTGCAAATGATGTATCAATGATTAAAACAGCGCACATAGGCGTTGGAATATCAGGTAAGAACTGACTCACACGAGCTGAGGTAAAATTAACGTTTAGGGATAATGACGCAGTATGGAATCCAATGTGTACGGATTTTTTATATTCGGAAAAACAAAAGTTAAAAGAAAAATGAATTAATAGAGAATGTAATCTGAAAAAAATATTGTTGTTGAGTCACAATGCCATAACTTTTTCCGACATGAACTACTACATTTCTTATCAATACTTCATGATCACTACAAGGCCGATGATCATCGATGAACTTATCCGTTTTTTTCAGTTAGATATTTAGAATTTAAAAACAATCCGAGGTAATCGCATCTCCATATCATATAGATTCAAAATTTTTGATTATGAACTATGGCACCTCTAAACTGCACTGGTACTATGAAAATTTTCTTCTTCCACGATCGAAACTGTTTCGCTTATTCTTTCGTCGTCACATTTGATTCATAGCTAAAATAACTGTGACACAAGACTAAGGGTTCCAACAACAAGGGAAGAAAGATAATAAATAATACTCTTATTGTTATGTAACTTATACTATGAATGAGAATTTTTCGTTTGTTTTTTCGAGTTTGTTTAGGCCTATCATTTCTATATTCTTTTGTATATTTGATAAAGAGCAAATTTTTCCAGATTCATTTGTTTTTTCACTGAATCATTTATCTGAATTCGACTGAAATTTCCAATTGATTACTATTGATAAGAATAAACCTGTGATTACCAGCAAAGACACAGACATAGATAATACTGATCTGTACTTTTAATTGTACTTCTTTACAGGTCAGGAAGGTATGCAAGCTGTTCTTTCGTCAGATTATAGTATTGGTCAATTCCGTTATCTCGAACGGCTTTTGCTTGTACATGGAAGATGGTCTTATTTTAGGATGACAAAGTTTCTGCGCTATTTTTTCTATAAAAATTTCGCATTCACTTTAATCCATTTTTGGTATTCATTTTTTTGTGGATATTCTGCTCAGGTAAATTTTGTCATTTCTGTATTTGTGGGTTATTTGTATACCTTTTGGATATCATAAATTTAATTTCTTTAATTTTCAGTCCATATTTGAAGCAGTTTTTATTGCAAGTTATAATATGCTTTTCACTGCTTTTCCTGTATTAGCAATGGGCATTTTTGACCAAGATCTTAATGACGAATATAGCTTAAAATACGAGAAATTATATATTCCCGGCCAATATAATTTATTCTTCAATATGCGAATTTTTATTTATTCTGTTTTGCATGGAATGATTAGGTGAATCCTTTTTATTATGAAGCATAGTATCCCTATAACAGTCACCATTTAATTATATTAGACCCAATCGTGAATCAGTTTTTTTTCATCCGAGTAGTTCTCTGACGGAAGGATACCACACTAATGGCTAGTTGAGATCAAACCGGAAACGGCTGTAAGTTAAGCCCTCACAAAATACTTCAACTGAAACGTTAAATCGCTAGATCAGCTAACTGAACTACTCAACTCAAATTTAATTTAATTATGGTATTACAGCTCATTAGTAATATTCTTTATACCATACGGTTCGATAACAAATGGATCGGCATCAGATGGACGTGATATGAATGATTATCCGCTACTTGCATTTATTTGTTCAACAGCATTGATTATGGTGGTTACTGGCCAAATTATTATCGATACATCTTATTGGACTGTCTTCAATCATATTGTCATTTGGGGATCGTTAATACTTTATTTTGGATTGTCATATATTTTCTACGAAGGTAATTCCTACAAAAAATATTAAAATATTAAAATATCCATTGGTTTGTTGGTCGTTCCATTTCAAAAGGATTTCTTGCAAAAGAACCCTTCACGATCTAATATAAGTTTGATAACTGGATAACTGAGCAGAATTTTAAACAGAATTGGAAATGGCATATATTCTCAATTGTAGCGTTACCAATGTCGGTTGTCGCAAAATCCCAGTCTGCGCTATCATACGGTGTAATAATTCGAGCATTTAGTTCACCGATGTTTTGGTTAAATCTTCTTATGATTGGATGTGTTTTACTTCTTCCAGTAATTTTAAACCGATTCTTTTGGTTTGATACGCATCCATCGTATGCGGATCGACTTCTTGCGTATAAAAAATTCTCGAAGACGCCAGTGGAAAAAGCTAAGATGCCACTGAAGTAAATTATTTGATTTAATCGAATTATTTTCGTAAATTTCATAAAGTGCCAATATATATCGAATTAATAATAAAAATAATATGAAATAAATTTTAGACCGCTTAGCCGAATAGCACCTACGCGACGGAGCAGACATGGAGGATCTCTTCGTTCTGGTTATGCGTTTTCTCACCAACAAGGTTTCGGTGATCTTATTATTAAAGGGAAACTGTTTAAACAAGTCGAAAATCTTACAAACAGGTATTTTCGATTTAATATGAAGTTCTAACTCCGTTCCCTCAAATTTATCAAATATCCATTTTTTTTAAAGGCAAATTGTATCAAATGAAACAGCTTCAACTCCAGTCAGCGAAAATTCACAAATAACCCGTAACAGTCCACTGTTATCACAGAGGTCTTTATCACTAAAATCGGACAAAACTTTTAATGGAGATGAAATGGTAAAAATTTAGATGAATTTCATAGCGCCCTCTTTTATACAGCACTCTCGCTGACTTTCTGTCTTCTAGCTTTCATATTCGATGAGGCAATTAGATCATCTCAAAGTTATGATGGATTATTTTTTAATGGGAGGTGATTTAACATAAAACGTTATGGAAAAATATTTCATTAAAAATATAAGCCAATAAGATTATTTTTAATCGCTCCATTCATTATTTACAGTAAATCGATAAATCTTTCCAATTTTACAGAAAAATTTCAGTCAAAACAACCAATTTGGAAAATTTGCCGCAATATTCCACAAAAGAAGCTTTGTACGATTAACGAAGAAAGTCCAGGACACTACATTATAACAGTTGATGACGGCAGTGAAATGGTTCAAACTTTGGTAGAATTTTCCTCGAACCAGTGAAGCTCTTTTGGCAACATGATTTCACTTTAGTTAAGAACTAAGAATTTCTGAAATTACAGGAAGAAAATATGGAAGAAAAGAGAATTAAGCCGAAAAATCGGAGTAATTTACTTGCAGTTTCCGCAAATCGTGTAGCACCTATCGCTGACGGAATTAATTTTACTTCCTTTGAAAATGATAGCTCATATTCAGGTCAGTCAGATCAAGACACTGAATCAAAAAATTCTTCTAACAAGAAGAAAAAGGTTTATTTTATACCTCTGATTAAGATTTTTTCATTTCGCTTAGTTCTTGCATAAGTACTGTTGAGAAATAGTATATTGCTTCAACTAAGAATAGAATTCACGGGTTCAGTTCCTTTCTTTCGATGGGAGCAAAACCACCATTAAAAATGAAAATCTGAGTGGTGCAAGACCCACTACTTCTGCTCTGGTGATTCTCTGGTGAAAAAATTACATTCTAATAGAGCAGCGAAAAATGGAGAAATGGTGAATGCTGTTATAAGTTCCTCTGCTGCTTCCGTTTTAAGAAACAAATTTTAAGCTGCCCTTTATCTAAAGCTTTTTCCCTAAGTAAAAAAGGTTACAGGCAGCAAGCAGCGAAATTATTGAGAGGTATTGACGGATTGATTGATTTACCAATTAATTACCTATCATTCCACTTTTTCCTGAAAAAAACACGATTTGCTCAAGGAATTTACCACATTGCCACAAATATATTGGTATATTGCAATATATTGCAAATATGTTTTCTCCCATGGAAATGAATCAAGCAATCCACATTCCGATTAAATTTCACTTCCAATTATTGGTGAAATTAATTTTACTGTCTTTCATTAAATTAATTGTTATTTAGCTTTTATTTTTATGTAAGATTGTAAAATTTTGTGAAATTTTCATTTTTGCTAAAGCCTAGTCTTAAGCTGATCTCAAGTAATTGCTGTCGCTATTACTTTTGTATTTTTATCTCAGCCCTTTCTAAAACGAAACGATTAAACCAATTGTTCCTTAAAAAAGGAATTCTTTGTATTTAACGTAATAAAAACCAGGCTAGAAATTTGAAATCAAAATTAAATATTGATATTTTCTAAATTTTTTTTCTAAATCGAATAGGATTTTCAGATAAAATATTCTAGTCAATGAATATATTTTGAGCTCTTCCAACCTTCGCTGAGATTTTTTTTTCAAGAATACTAAAATCAACCGTTAGATAAAATTTCTATTTCAGAGAAATCCTAAAAATTTTTTTGCAGTACAAAATAATAAATATTAGAACTATATTCACAATTCCACAGCCAAAAAAACAAATTCACAATAGTATTTTAAAAAAAATTAATTGCTATAAAAATAATTAATACAAATTACATTATAATGAAAAAAAAATGAGATCAAATGCATTGCGATTTACAAAATTAATTAATGCAATAAAATAGCAGATGTACTTGTAATGCGATGTTTGTAACGGAAACAAATTAAACATGAAATTTGAATTATTCTTCTATTCTCTATTCTTTACACAAAAATGAGAAGCCCTACAAATTTCATAAAATATTTCATGGTCGCTATTATTTCTAAATCAAACTTTTTACCACATATTTGTTAATCTATACATTTAAACAAAGCTCATCGCTGATACATAAAAGTTAATAAATGAAGATGTTAAAAAATATATACCACTTTGCCCTTAAAATCGTAAATCAGTAATATATGTAAAAGGTAGCAAAAAGTGCCCGATTCATTTGCTCATTCTGTATTTACCTTTGAGGTAATTGAATTGAATAAAGTATCAGAAAAACTACATAAATTACTGAAAACATTCAAAGCAAATCAAAGTGAAGAGTATAACTTCAATCAACCAACCTCAACTAGCTCATTTAATAAAAACGTGGAACACAATTATAATAGCATTCGCGTAATACTATCTCTAATACCCAATTATATAAATAGGAAAAAGAATAAAAAATATGGATCAACATCGAAGTTGACCTGTTAACTTATTGCCAAATTCAAAAAAAACGGATTTTTTGGGATCTAAACATAAATAAATTACTATATAAATGCATCATTAGGCCAAAATAAATAAAATAAGTTGAAATAATGCTAATGCAAAAAAATAGAGATAATTGAATGATATGGCTGTTCATTTGCTTCCAGCATTACAGGTTTGATTTTACGATCGTTAGCAGGAGTAAATAAAAACATAAGTCCGGGTATGCTGTAACACCATCTTGTACCCATGAAAAAGCCAAAATGCCAAAAGCAGAATAGCCAAACTAGTGATAGCACGTGTTATAAGGAGAAGGGAATACAAATAAAGATTAATATATTAAAATTAACATGAAATGAAAATTTATTTTCTTCCTATTGACCAAATTCACTTCACTTTTCACCTTCATTTATAAGTAGTCATCAAGCTGCTTAGATTACTCTTTCAACCGCTACTGTTCGGTTCCAATCAAAAGCAGGATTAAACTATCTAAAATCTAAATATAACAGAATCTGGATCAGTGTATCCATATAATCGTCGTTATCTTCGTTAAATTCCTTGAAATATTCTCCTGCTATATTTTCTTAAAATCTCATCATAGCCTTTTAACATGGATGTTCTGGGAGTAAAAGCAGTGTAATACAAAAGTTGTTAAGGGAATATAGGACTTAAGGGGACCTCTAGGAATGTACCGAGATCTGAAGATGGTTTGTCTACAGAACTGTTTAAAGAGCCTATATTACAAAATCACATTTGTTTAAAAATTTCCTCCAACTTCGTTATATTTTCTAAATTTGTTTCATACTTCCTTCCTAATATTCTTTTGGCACCTCCGTTATGCTCATCAAAATCATCTGAAATTATGCTTGCTTCCTGAAAATTTCAACTTCCTGGAACCCCATTTCACTTCAACAGCCTATAATGTTTCTCTCAATTATAATTTATCAATGTCATTTCAAACCTTTTAATCCTTAACAAACAACACCGTTAAAACATTTTTTCTAAGCAAAACATCACACTTCATCCTTTTTGCTTAATATGACAGGTTGCTAATTTAATTTCAAAATTGTTTTAACACAACGAATAGCAGAGAATAGTGATGAGTGTACACAATGGGTGCTAAATATGGTTATTTAGATGATGAGACAAAATAGGTGGAGGTCGTGCAGATCTATTTGGAAAAACTAGTGGCTGTGGTGAATTTTGTATTTCATTATTCAAATTTGATGAAGCTAATGATGAAGATAATACGTTGCTGACAAACGCTGAATCCAAAGATAATATATTTAAATCACGTAACTGCTCATCGGTAGAATTTGAAACTGCGGTGCTTCCAGTAGAATTCAGCTGGTTTGTCGAAGCACATTTTCTAATGCCCGTTTCTTCATCATCATCTAAATTGAAAAGAATTCGCCTAAAACTGGAAATTTTCACAAATCAGCGTCAAAAAAATAATAGTATTAAATGGCAAAATTTGCATGAAATTTGCTACTTTACCTTGGAATTCAAAATCTTCAAATTCATCATCATTTCTTGAATAATCATAAATTTCTGAGCCGTTTATCGTTTGTAAAGAATTTTTTAGCAATGAAAACCCTATTTCGCTCCAATTCGGGGAACGAAGCTGCACTCTTAACTCATAATTGTCAATTAATGTGCCATCCATGCTAAGAGCAGCAAGTGCCATTTCACCATTTTCGAGTACAAGCCATAATTTGGAATGTTCTATTCTAAAAATACAAATCGAAATTGAAAATGAAATTTGATATGAAAACAAAATGAAATTTATCATAATAAAATATCAAATATTATATCTATAAAGACTTCAAAACTTTTAGAAAACTAAACGAAAAAAGATACTTGCTTAACAATACTTTAATAGCGAGTTCTTCTGACAATCTTTTTTCAACTAAATTACAAAAATGAATAGGAAATACTGGATGACCATGTACAGAGACAATTATCGTAGCATCGGGTGGACCACAGCACCTAAATAATAATTGTTTACTCAAAAGGTAAAGATATAAATAGTGGAAAATCTCTCGCAAAAATTTTTATCATAAAATACAAAACACAAAAAAGCGGAAAATAAATTCTTACAAATGTGTTAATTCAATTTTTAATGAAGCAGTAAAAAAAAATTTTCTGTGGCATAAAGATAAAATGGGATAAATTCTTTGATTTACACTGTGTAAATTTGTTGAACGAAAATCACTGTATTACAATATGAATTTAAAGATTTAAGAAAATAATATCGAAAATTGTAAACATACGAAATCACATCATAGTAAACTTTTTCACATTTCAGTGGATGCAATTTTAAAGCTCTTAATTGAAAAAATGCTCTGACTGGACGATGATCCGAAGTTTTCAGCTCTACCCGTCCATAACTATAAAACATTTCAAATGAACAAGATATAGCTGATGAATTTCCCGATCATGGTGAAAATATAATAATGAAGCAACCATAGATTTTTTCAAACGGTTTTTAATAATAAGGCACTTAAATAATCAGAAATATGGTAATCAACAATAATACCTCAACAAACGGATAGTATTGTTATTTGTCGAATCTTTCCATAATATCCTATCTGTCCAAGCTGGTACTCGACATTTTTCTGATGTATCATAATCGTCACTGAAGGTATCATATTTGTAAGTTGGAGCAAATTTTAGTTCACCCTCATTAAAACCAACGAATACCTGAAAATCTTAAAATTAGTCATTTATTATCAAAAACATAATAAAACAAATAAATAATTGGAACTATCAGGTGGAGAATGGAGAATTAAGCGGAAAATATAAAATATGATTATGACGAGATATGAAAAATTTCCAAAGAAAGAGAAATGATAAATGATTAAGATTTGCTTAACATTTTATCTTCAAAAAAACCAAACTAACATTGTCTGTTGCACGTTGTTGAGTTAGCTGATCATTTGGAACAAGTTGAGTAAACATTCCGGCTTTAACTGCCTTCTTTACTTGATCACCAGTTAACGCAATTCGATAATTAAAATCACCCAACCAAATAATTATATCATGCGATAAAATATCACGTCCCTGATAATAAATTTAAATTTCACAAAAAAAAATAAGATAATTATAAAAGATTATAAAAGGCGAATTATAAAAAATGAAATTTTATTTGGGCCAGAATGGGAATATACCATCGGAAAATGAATTTTTCGAATCGCAGCTCTGTAATCATCATTTCGATCGCGCACTTCGTTTTGGCCGGCGGCAAAATGAGAACAGACGAAACATAGTGAAGTTGAAAAAACAGTTAGCCGCAAAGCCACTGATCCCTTATTTCCAGTTGCACCACCCATCCCTAAATTAGATTTCGATATAATCAACGCTGTATTATGGTCACTGCTGTAAATTGTACAAACATTTTTCAATGATTAATCTATTCTATTATTTCTGCAGAAAAAAATTTTTTTTAAATGGAAAAAAAAATAAGATAATGAAATAATAAGTGTGGTTATTGAAAGGATGGAGTCAAATCAAAACGAAAACTTTTTGCGCAAACGAACCCGTTTTAACGCTATCAATTGCAACGTCTCGAATGACACTAGAAAGCGATGGTTTTATGAAAACGAATAAGCATACTCCTACGAGTTGTTCACTTCCAAGCAAAACGTATTTCCTACCACGTTCGCATAATGCTTTTCGTAGTCCATCACACCATGACCGCTGGTTTGTGGTGCTAAAAAAAAAATGAGATGGTAAATTATTCGTGATGAAATTTCGAAAATAAAGACCTATTTTACGAAATGAAAGATTTCAAAATCTTAGTTCTCAATATAAATTCTTTAGTTTTTGTTACAAACCTCGCTTTAACTATATTCGAGGCATTTAAATCGATTATCTCCTCTAATCCAATTACAAATATATCGGAATCACCATTTGCATCGAGAACATCCACTTAAAAAAATAAAAATAAATTGACTTATTTATTATTCAGTTTATGACCTAGAATAAAAAATAGAAATAAAACTAATTATACAAATTCAAGTCACCAAGTCCCTCATGCTCAAAAAGCCATTCAGATAAGGGAGTTTGATTCCGAAATGCTATATTATACATATTCTTGCCACCATTCACGTTCCATGTTCCAACGAATAATTTTAGCGGTATTTCATCAACCATTTCGTTTTTGCTATCCACAAAGGATTCGACAAAATTCTGACATTCTAAAAAAAGTGGCAGTAATTAAAATTGATAGTCATGCTAAAAAAAATTCATAAATATTGATTCTACAATGCTTTTACTGCAGTGTGTGAATGTGAAATTTGTGAAACAGAATATCAAAGATTCAAATAATAAATGACCATATGTCTATAGCAATTTCTGCAAGCAATAATCTAGAGCATGGAAAACGGAAGTAAAAAAGCACGAAATATATAGAATTTATTAAAAGTCTTATATGGTTGATGATTCTGATAAATATACAATGCAGATACATGCTGATTTATTTTAATAAAGGAGCATTTGATGTGGCAATGCAAAGAATTTCTAAGCGAAAAAGTGCAAAAATTAACTACCAACCATAAACCAAATAAATTCCTGAAATAAAATTCCTTTAAATGATTCAAGGCAGAATTTTTAGTTTCACAGTCATTTTCACATCCAATAATTAAATAGAAATTACTATAATTATATCTATTTAAATGGATTACTATAATTATAAAAATTGTATAAAAATTGTTAAAGTTTTTTAAGCCATTTATTTAAGTAAACTCTCTTCTTTTAAAACAAACCGTGATAAAATAAACGAGGTAATAATGCAAAGATTTGGTCATATATTAGTGAACCAATCACGGGTCCATGAAGAAATAAATCGAATGATTCTTGCTTAGTCGAATCCATTAAATTATTTTGAATGGTGCGAGCCAGTGAGCGACTAGCATCTTTCAACTAATAAATGAATCAATTTGGATAACAAGTTGACAAGTACTAACTATGTATGTACAATGTTTAATTAAAATCAGAAAATAATGAATAAAATTAAATAAAAACCAAAATTAAATTAATTAAATTAAATATTAATGAAGCATTATTAATGAGAAAAATAATAATGAGGAAAATTTTATTATTATGAATCCAAAAGAATTTCTCTTATTTCATTCGTAGCAGTAAAGTGGAAAATTCAGACTACCTTCGATTTACCTTCTAACGCGCCTGTGCCTGCATATATTACGCTACAGAAGTCGCCATTTTTCTGCCACAATTCCTTAAGGATTTCTTCAAAACGTACAATCAAATTACTTTTCATTCTATCAACTGATAGAGAGTCGTACTGACTAGGTAACATCTAAAAGAAAGTTATCATAATAGGATCAAACCGATACCACCTATACAATTTTTCATTACATAAAACCCAGAAAATCTAACCTGAAGACCTATAAGGGTTTGGACAGCATTTGTCCGATCAAGACAATCTAAGCAATTTGTACGTACAACTCCCATTTGATATCTGCAAGAAAATTTTGAATATTTGCCAAGTGAGAATGAGTTTTTTTAAAAAAAAACAAAGTAATATGCCAAGATGAAAATTCCGCATGAATTGTTAAGTTAAAATCAAAAAAACCCACTTTAATTTTGTACCGTCTCGAGAACAAAAAAAGGAAAATTTATTCAGCATAGGTATCAATTTATTCATCAAATAACGAGTCGAAGTTTTTGACGCTTTAATTTGAGAATGATAATCGAATGCAACAAATTCAACATCATTATGAGCCGAATTTTTATGTCGAAACTAGAATTATTTATGGCTAATTTATAAACCAAAGAAACTGGAAATAAATCAATAATTTTTTATAATTGCATAGTTTTTTGTAAATAAAAAATAAACAAAAAAACTCATAAAAGAGTTAAAATACTCTATAAGCGTCCGAAAGTGTTTTTTCGCCCATTTTTGAACCAAGTAAATTAACAATGACAATATTTCCATAAGTTTGCTTGAGCAGATGAAAATGCCTGGAAGGGATTCTCGTATAACCTTTAAAACGGAATCCAGTTTTTTTCATTAATGTAGTGATACAAAATAAAGAATTCCATATAAATAAATATGATATCAAAAAACAGAAAAAAATTTATATACCTGTCATAAGCTGGCACGCATGTTTCGTACGCTCTTAATTTTACTTTATGCGAACCAACGTTGATACCTGGCTGTTCCCAAAAGAGAGGAACTGAACCACGTATTTGAACGAAGGATGTATCAATATTTTCATAAGTGATCAACTATAAATTTTTTTAGAAAATAAAAGTGTTAAGAAAAATTTTGCGTAAATCTACTGTTCGATTATATTGATAGCTTATAGCATATCTTCTGATACGAAAGTGCAAAGCTAGGAGAAAAAAATAAAATAATATAGCAGAAGGAGATACCTTTTCGTTTTCTGAGAGGTCACTGATCAGGCTGAGGGAACTAGACAAATTTTGCCAGATAATCACTTGGCAATATAAGGACGGCAGAATCGCCTGAATCACCTGGATTTCTGAAGAATAGGTTTACTCCTGCCAAGAGTAGGATCCCAGCATTGGCGCTCAGAAGCAACAACTCACTGGGACAAATCACGAAAGGCAATTTTCAACTTCCAAGGGCGATACGGCAATAATTTGGTGTGAGAAAAATCCCAGATTTTTCCTGCACCAAATCATTATTCTTGCTGCTCGTAAATAATTACACGATCTCACATAATTTGGTGCCCATAATCATCACATTCTCCAACACCTACTTCGGAGCTTTCTAAGTTATATTTATTAGAGCTTTTTTTATTTCTTATCGTCAAATATCGTCAGAACATCAAAAATTTTCTGTTAGGATGTTTGCATATCATCTTACTGGATAGCACATACAATCGTATTAATTGTAAACTACAGAGAGAGCTATTGGCGACATGAAATAGTTGAGCTATTGGTCAAGTCAGGGCCTTTCAAACTGAGGTTCGAAGGATTCATAGAGGGAGGCTAAGAAGAATATTGTGAAACTAGCATAAAGACTAAAGAAAAGTGAATAAAAGAAAAGAAAAAACCAGGTGCTCTTGTTTGGAGATGCCAGAAATATTCCTACAACGATTGTGGGGCTAATTCAAAAATCTGGTTTTCTTAAGATGTAAGATGGGTGGAGATAAAAAGGAGAAAGTGGAAAACAAAAAATTTGATTTGGAGCTTTTCTGTGCATTGTGTTGTTGTCGTCTCTATGCGCTGCCTTCCCTTGGCTTGTCATTCCTAACATCATATTTCTAACTCTCACTTAAAACATTTTTTATTTACAGACAAACCCAGATCTGCTGCAAAGATGTGTGCGCCGAATATCTTAAGTACGGTTTTATTCAGCTATTAGTTTCCACTTAAAACGTTACCGGTATATATATCTAGTTTGCTAAAAAGTTTAACAGTGAATTTACGAAGCCGACTTGATCATATCATATTATATGATCAATTCAAGAGTTCAATTCTTCTTCTTCTAACAGCTCTCACCATTATTGGTTTGGCCGGCCCCAATGGCTACAAGGCTAAGACGCTTCCAAGCGGCGCGATCTGATGATATCGTCGACAGTAATGGAAGCCATTCCTTTTTCCATCGTCTAAGACTATAAATTGCTGGACCACCTATACGTTCAAAACTTTTTCTGAACATATCAGTCCAGATCTTGATCAGTCCACCTCGCTTTTGACGCCAACCATCACACGGTTTCGCAAATAACGAAATATGCGTCAACTCCTGTGGTGGACGACGGAAAATATGCCCTAACCAGGGAAGGCGACACTTGTGATAACATTATTTGAACAAGTGGTATTATTATGCAAGTGGTATTTGAACGAATGTGGGTGCGATCGTGTGATATCTTATCCGCTCGACGGAGCCGTAATAGTACCTTAAATAAGAGTGGTCAAAGGCAGATAACTTCTTAATATCCTCCACCCTCATTGGCCATATCTCAGAACCATATAGCAAGATCGAACGGACCACGGCTATACAGATGCGGACTTTCGTTTTTATGGTGATTTCTCGACGACTCCATAAAGATTTCGTCAACCGAAAAAATGCATTTCTAGCTGCCATGATCCGAGTTGTAATATCATCTTTTCCCTGTCCATTCGGTATGAGTGGACCCAAGGTATTTAAAATCGGGTACTTCCTCAATCGGCAATAAATTTACAAAAATAGGCATTTTATCAGCTTCTTGCATATAAGACTTTCGTTTTATTTATATTGATCCTGAGTCCGATTCTTGCTGCAATTTCTGACACGTTATTTAGTATTTGGTATTACTTGGCATTTCGTTATAACTATCAACAAAAAAGGCTACATCATCAGCGTATTCAAAATTTGTGATACGATGCTCTAGACTAATTTGGAGACCTCTTGAGTGCCGACAAGTTTCCATTATCCAGTCTGTCGCATAGTTGAATATTGTGGGAGAAAGGACGCAGCCACGGACACTTGTTCTTATTTCGAAGAAATGTTTACATATACATAGAACTGAAGACCACCTTCTCCTGGATTTTTATTGGCCTTAAACTTATGGATGACTGTAATTATTTCTTCAACTGTTGGAGGCTCGCAATTGCAAGCGTATGCTTCGGCAAACGTATCAGCTAACGTATCTGCAACAGATGGTGCTTCATGGTTAAGTTTGGCCTCAAAGAATTCTTTCCATCTTATGAGGCGATCCTTAATACTTTTGATCAGTACGCCATTGTTATCTCTTACCATTTCACTGATCTTTCCCACAGTCATAGTTGACCTTCTTTATGAAGAAGGCAGAATAGATTCCTATTGTAGCCTAATCGAGCCGTCGCCTCCATTCTTGAGGCCATGTCACTCCAAGTGATTTCTGTCCCGCCTTGCTACTTTCGTTGCAAATCTTCGAAGGACTCGGTAGTCAGGATCTGACATTCGTGCTTTGGCAGTTTTTTCAGGTAATTGGACAGTTGTTTCCGATACCCAACTAGCGCACTTTCTACTAGTATGCCCTAGCGTGGAAGTGGCTGATTTTCAGAAACATTCTTTTAGTTTGGACTAGTATTCATTTGCCGTTCCAGAAAAATCATTGATATTTGTATCCTTGAGATGCTTCAATAATTCAGTTTGAAATGCGCTCACTGTCCCCGAATTTTTTAGTTTGAGATAGTTTAAGGATCTTGGGGATGCTGTTTTCTGCGAGCTGTCAATTTTATGCGGATCTTGGCTCGAACCATAACATGGTCAGATCCATAAAGATTGCCCGTTTCAGCTCCGCGATAGTAATGAGCATCTAGTACGGAACTCTTCCAACGGCGACTGATTAAGATATAATCAATCTGGTTGAAGTGTTGCTTGTCGCGAGAGTTCCACGTGACTAGATATTTTCTATGATGCCGGAAGCAAGTAAAAAAAAGTTTATGCTTTTCGGCATAACGAAGAAGATAAGAGTTCAGTTCACAGATATTAATGAAATACAAAATTATATCAATTTTCAAATGCTCGAGGATCAATTTTTAAAAAGTTAAACACGTCTAAAGAAAACAATGATATGTCCTCTCTTACAATATTTTCTTCGTATTTCCTTCTTAAAATGGAGAAATCGCACACAATTGGCAAAAAACTGATCTTGTTGAAGTTACATGTATTAATTTGCGCAAAACATCATTTGATGATATCAAAAAAATAACTTTGTGGAAAAAGTGCAGAGAGGAATTGGTGAAATGTTGAAATTTGTCATGAGTTTTTAAAAGCAATGCGGATGGCTTTACCGGACATTGATGTTTATTCATTTAGCTCGTTCGATCTTTAAAAGATGAAAAATCTGCCAAAAGTTTTGGTTAACAAAAAGCTGTATTAGTGATTTGGTTACTAAACATTAAAATCAAACAACTACCTTAAAATGCGGACGGCCTAGAAATGACCTACATAATCTGTTAACCGATTAAAAAGTTTACCACTGATGCCAAATTCGTTAAGGATTATTATATCAAAGATGAACCGATACTTTTGTAGCGCAAGCCTTTTTTTAAAGAAAAGGAACCAAATATTACGATATGTCACTATTGTGGATTTATTTCATATCGAAAAAGTATGTCGGTGTCAAATGTACTCGCTGTGCATTCTACGATTTATCGACATTTGGTTGCAGGAAATTTCAGTGCAATTAGAATCACAAAAAATAAAAAACATTACTCGCACTGACAGATTATTTGGGCACCTTTGCAACGAAGTCTATAATCGATTTCAAAACTTGTCGAAATCGACTTGATAGCTTTGATTCAGCTGCGAGTTTTTTCAAAGCAAAGATAATTGGCTGTAGAATAATTTATAAGGTGGGAATAACGATGTTTCAGAACGACATAGATTGCACGAAAACTTTAATGAAATAAATAAACAACTGCTCGAAGACGAATTTAATTAAAACCAAGAGTATTACTTCCTTTCATGTTAAAACTACTTTAAAGAACTTTTCCATCCAATCTTCACTGTATCAGTAAAAAAAAAATGACAATATTACGATTAAATTCGACAATATTTTTATTCTATTTTCCTTATCATATTCAGCAGCACATAGATTTAGTGAGGTTACAAATCTGGTGACGAAGCAAATTCCAAAAAGGGACAAAAGAGATCTAAGGCTGATACAAAAATGAGATAAATATAAAAGAATTATATCGCCACATCAGAACCAAATTTTTCATCAATTTTCATTCTCATTTTAACTTTATTGTTTTTTATTTCTTTATAAAAGCTTAATAAATTTTTTAATGAATGATAAATTAAACGAATAATAAATTTTAAAAAATTCGGATACAATTCCAATAAAACTTTTCGAAATTTAAAAATTTAACGTGAATAGAATTAAACCTGAATTTTTTAATATTACTATAACTTTAAATCTAGAAAAGAAGGCAATGAGCCAAAAAAAAGACGAAAACTTATAAAAGGGACAAAAGAAAAAAAGGAAAGAAAAGGGGAAAGAAAAGATAAAATAAAACGTGCAAAAATATGAATTTCTCCTTGAAAATTTCGCGACCTTGCTGCGGATTATGTAGAAAAATAATAGAAGAATTCCAGAGCATCAGTTCTTTAGAAATAAATGAAAATATGAAATATACCTGTTCCGTTTCGATAAAATTGGCGACATGACCGTCGTCATTAATTCCTCGAACATTAAATCGAGTACCGACTCGGTTACAACTCAATCGTGATATAACAGCAACTTTCGCTATTTTACAACCAATATAAACTGTACGAATTTGAATTGATCCGCATATGACACGCAAAAACCACTCGCTTGGTTCGATACCATATCGTTGCAACGGCAAATGCAGATTTCGATTCCTTACCATATTAGCAGATAGAAGAAAAATTTTTAATTAAATTTTTAACATTTTGCAACAGAAGAACCACAAAAGCTAATCCTTTCTAATCCTTTCATACAAGTCTTAAAATTTAAAATTTAAAAAGCATAATAATAAAGAACTGATGAAAACGAACCAAAAATAAGAAGTATCGCCAAATTCTCCACATGCTCGCTTTTGTGATGAAAGAGTTAAATCGAACAATTGATTCATATTCGAAGAACTAGCGAAATAAAATATTCCAGAAGATGCCAGTTGTTGCAACTGAAGCAATAAGTCGGAAAAGAATGGAGAGAAATTTTTCAATAATTATTTTCTCTATGAGGAAAACCTCAAAAAAATTTGCATTATAAATATTATTGAAATATAAAAGCAAAATATCCCTTTCTTTTTCAGATAATTTGCATAAAAAATAAATTATAATCTTAATCGAAAGAACAAACAAACCTCAATTATTCGAGGATCGATAAATTCTGATGGCCGTTTAAGAGGAACGAAATTTACATTCGTTATTCTATATATATCACAACCATATAATTGTCCCATTGAAAAAACACTCGTACATACCAATAAAAAAGATTCTTCTTAAAAATTTCATTATTACAACAGTCAAGTGGTTTTTGACATTATTCATAACATCACCTTCAGCTTCAAGGTTCACTTTTGCTTTTAATAATCGTAAAACTGTTATTTAAAAATACGGATATTGTTTACATGGACAAATGATTCTTTGCCAAAATTTTTCATTGTACTAATAGCCAGTGAAATAGGCCCAACCAGAAACTGTTATAATACATTAGTGAATTGATTAAAAAAACTTTTAGCAAAAAAGACCATAATGAGATTAAATATTTTTAGTCGCTCATAAAGAAATTTGCAAATATTAAAATCAAACATTTGTGGAAAATTAATTGAATTTCATAAATTTACTGAAACAAATCAAAATTTCTTTAAAAAGTCGCAGACTTTCAATTTTATATTTATATTTAAATGATTATTCGTATTAGTAATTAATGGAACAAATTACCGAACGATATAGTTTGTGCATTATCCTTAACCATCTTTAAAAAAAGATTAGATAATACCATTTATGATATTATTTAAAAAGTTCACATGATGCAGGAATGTGAAATCTCGATTTTTACCATCCGAATTGTATTATGTTATATTCTTTAAATTTTTTGTCATATTTATTTTCTTTTTCTCATTAATTATTATTTGTTATTTTACTTGTTGTTATTAATACAAGCACATTGCGTTTATCGCCCTGATTTGGCTGGGCTTTTTCAATAAATAATTAAATATTGAATTAACATAATAAAAGATTAAGGATAATAATAATCAAAGATAACCATTATTTAACCGTAGAATTCCCATTAAACCATAACCATCAACCAATTTCTGATATTGTTGCTTATATAACGCTGTTGATTCACTGTCTTCTGAAAATTTTAAAAGAACTTTAAAATATCATTTTCGTTTTTGATAAAATTCATAAATTACTATTGAGGCGAAATCGCCAGGGAAAGTCATTTGGATAGAAATTGAGTTGCCTATGCTCTATACACCAGTACATTTGCTGATCAACGGACAAAGATTGCACTATCCATGCTGCTTGGTCGATCAATCCAAGCGTATACCGATTTGACTATTTCTATAAGTAGTTTTTAACCGTCAACCATACATAAAGAATGCAAATTATTAATTAACCATTATAACATCGACCAATTCATTGTACTTATTAATGAAATTATATTAAATTACAACTATTAATCAAATTGATACGCTGCTGGACGCATTATTCTTGAATATTCCCAAGTAACTTTATAGTGAAAGGACCAGGCCTTTTTCACACGCATTTACGCTCTTCATCGGGCGCATAATAGTACATACTATGAGTATCCAATCCGAGTTAGTAAAAACCTCAAGGATTGTGAATAAAATGCGCTTGCGAACCAGGATAACCGTTTGAAGCCTATCAAGAGAAACGGCATTCTACAAGCATGGCGAGATGTTAGATCTAGTGGCGCAGAACATCTGAACGCTTATGGACGTTGTAAGTGATCACTTTCCACACTTTTTCTAAATATCGCGTAGATGTGGTGTCAATGTCTTCATCTTGTTGAAGATTGTGGATTTGTTAATAAATGCTTCCGACATCTAGAACACGGCAAATAACCAACATTCCAACCACCAAACTGTTTATATCTTAACCACTGTTAAAAATGTTTCAGTCTCTCCTATCGAAACGCTGAAACTGGTAACTTTCATGAATCAGACTATGCTATGGTTCTAGCCAAGATCCGCATAAAATTGACAACTCAGAAGAAACAACACATCCCGAGATCCTTGAAACGCCTCAGTGAACTGAATGTCAATGATATCTCAGGAACGGCGGATGAACACTGGTCCCAACTAAACTAAACTAAGATATGTCACCAAAAGCTGCTTCCATGCCATACTAGAAATGTGATAGTTGAGTATCGAAACATCTGTTTAATTATCCGAAAAAGCTGCACGAATGTCAGGAGATCTTGATCTACTGTCTGGTATGGAAGAAAAAACACCAGATGACTGTAAAGCAATTCTGCTCATAATTTCCAAGAAAGATAACAGGACATATTGTGATAATTACCCAGGAATCAGTCGTAAGTATCCGGGAAATTTTCTATTCACCTTCTACTGAATATTTATGGCAATACGTTATGCTGACTAGATATTCATATTAAGGGTGTCGTTTCAATCGACAGCACACCATTTGTTGTTCATCGATTTTGCAGATGTTTTCAATTCAGTTGATACTTTGGATGGTATGTAACGGTATTTTAGAGAAGACCATTCGACTAATAAAAGCATTTTATCAGCATACATCGGCATGGGTTTGTATGTGGGGAAGTGAACAGACTGCTTCGAAATAAAAACTGGTGTCTGAAAAACTGCGTTCTTCCCCCTACAATATTCAACTAAGAGATAAATTGAATAATGAACATCACTTGTCGGCAAAAGGTGTACAAATTAGTCCAGAGCATCGTATCACAGAATTTGAATATGCTGATGTAGTTCTTTGTGCTGACAGTTATGAAATGCGTCGACAACTGTAGCGAGAGTCGGACTTAGGATCAATGTAAAACGAAAGTCTTTTCGTTTTATATACAAGAAGCTTACTTTTATCGCAAAAAGCTGAGGAAGTGCCTGGCCTTAAATATCTTGGGTCCACTCTCAAATGGCCAAACAAAAAACGACAATCTGGATAAAGGTAGCTAAAAATGTATTCTGCCAGTTGACAAAATCTTTGTGGAGCCGTTACGAAATCACTTAAAAAACGAAAGTCTTTGTCCACATAGCGATTCGTACGATCTTGCTATATATATATATATATGGCCAATAAAAAGGGGGTGGGTATTACGAGTTATCTTAAGAAGTTCTATATTATTAAGATTTCTTTGACGACTCAATGTCTCAATGCATATTTTATGGGTTATAGGTTCGGGTGGATAAAATCTCACATGATTGCATCTTACATGACCTTTGCTTAAGTACCACTTGCATTAACAGGAGTGTTGCCTTGGCTGGTTAGGACGCGTTCTTCGTCACTCACCGCAAGAACTGACATATATTTCATTACTTGCTAAATCCTGTGATAGGTGAGGTCCTAACCAGAAGGAGGACCAACTAAGACCTGACTGATACACTTAAGAAAGACTTTGAACGTACAGGTGGGCCAGATATATGAGCTTCTGTGGGCTTAGACAATGGAAAAAGGAGTGGCTTTTATTACTAACGACGACGGCATCAGACCGCGCCGCTTGGAACTCCTCACCCTTGTAGTCAGTGGAGTCGGTCTCACCAGTAATGGTGAGAGCTGTTAGAAGAGGAGAATATAAGGTTTAAATTCGATCCAATATAAAATTTGCTGCAAGTCCGACGTAAGGAAAGAAAAGAAAACTTGGCCTTAGAAAAATATTGACCAAGTGTGGCAGCCAAGCGGCAGCTATTCTGCGGGTGCTCAGGTCGGGTCGAATCTTTTAGTCTTTTGCAGTAGGAAATTTAAAAGAAACCTAAAGTAAGAATCGCAGACGATTGCAATAATAAAAATTTCTTAGCGAAAGGCGATTCAACAATTACGCTGTATTCATTCGACGTTTCACTTCGACAAAATATCCGAAACCTTCGATTTGCCATTTTCAAGAAATTAAAATGTAAAATATATCTCAAAATTATAAAGCAATTAAAGAAATTCATCAAAATAGTTAAAGAGTCATTTGATATGATAACGATTATATCGACGATGTCAGAAGCTTTAGAAGCTTTCAGCCTCCTATCTCGGTTGCATTCCAAACTGCTGAATCGATATTCGACCACTCGCTCAACTCCTTTTCACCACAAACCTATTTTCGGCCCCAAAACCCTCATCGCCGACTTCCACAAATTCGACTTTAAGAAGAAAGGAAAAGAAAGCAAAAAGTTCTCTTATCGGTTTTGGCACGTTGCCAAAAAATATTTTTATGAAAATTATTGCATGCATAATCGATTTGTTTTCGCACTTCGCACAACAGCGATATAGCCTTTTGGCATTCGTCATCCTTTATAGTTCAGAAGTGGCAAACTCGCGTTACCTTTGTGTCGCTTTCAGGAGGTCTTCACTTGCCCAGTATTAATTTCAGGTCAAACGGGGTCGATCCCATTCCGCTTTTTTGTTTTGTTTTATTGATTTTTTTAATATCTAAAATATTTGAAAATCATTTTTATTTACTTTTCTCAGAAAAAAATAAAGACAAACAAATTTTCATCGATTGTTTAATTTGCAAAATGATACTTTTCTTTTTCATTTATTCGTTTATAAAAATTTTTTCATTTATTAAATTCCATTTATTTAAAAAATTAATAAATGAAAAAATTTGTTTAATTAAATTTTGAATTTAATTTTATTTCATTTGTTTTTACTTAATTTTTTTCATAAAATTCCTGCGAGTTTTAAATATTTTAGAGATTTTTTTATAATGAATTATATGAATCGCAGTAATTCGGGTCATAGGTCATGCAGACTGAGGCGGTAGCCTTTTATTGACCCTTCCTCGTTCAGCCGTAATTCAGTTGCATTAATATCATTTTACATTTTACACGCAATCTTTTTAATATTTAAGATTCCATTATTGTGATATTTGATGAAAGATTTGGCTAAATTTTTTTATTTTTTATTCTTTGCTTATCATTATCATATCTTCGTGCAAGTGTTGACTTTGTCCAGTGACGTCACGTTATTACTGAATTTGTTTTCGATGTTGTGGCAATTTAAACTCCGTTCGTTACACTTTTTTTTGCAACAATTATCGATACGATAGGAGCAGTTGTCTTAGTTTCTCAAAATTTCGCTCGCTGTAGACTTGTTGATTGTTAAAAAAGTTTTATTTTACTCGTATTTTCCACATTTAATTTTTTAAATTTTGTTCTCCAAGTTGATTTATTCCGTCAGAAAATAGGTCGTGATCTATGTGAACTTCACGATCCTGCTGTATGGCTGCGAAACATGACTAATGAGAGTGGAAGATATTATGAAGCTACCAACCTTTGATCACTCATGTCTAAAATACATTTTACGGATCTGTCGAGCGGGTAAAATCGCACATGATTCTATCCATCTTCGCTCAGCTACCACCTATATTTATAATGTTGTCGCTTTCGCTGGTTACGGCACATTCTCCGCCACAGGAGTTGACGTATATTTCTTTTTTACTTGCTGAACCCTGTGGTGGTTGGCGCCAAAAGCGAGGAGGACCGATCAAGACCTGGTCTGATACAGTCAGGGAATTTCGTGTAGGGGGACCAGCGATATATGGACTTAGACGATGGAAAAAGGAATGGCTTCTATTACTACTAGCAATGGCGTTGGATCGAGCAGCTTGGAGACGTCTTACCCTTGTAGCCAGCGGAGCCAGTCTAGCCAGTAATGGTGAGAGCTGTTAGCTGTAAAAAACTTGTTTTTTTCTTATTTTTTCTTATGTCTTTATTTTAGACTAATAATGGTGAGAAGAAGAATTTCATGGCACGAATAAAGAGACTTTGATCTGGGAAAATTTCACCTTTGAAATGATTTGGAAGAAATGAATTTCAGATCATCTAAAGCAAGTGAGAACAGTTTAACTCATTCGATGTCCAATGGAATATAATCGTTTCCTATCTTTCATCTTAATCATTGTCATATCGGCTATCACAATTTATGTAGGATGCTTCCGATCATATGTTATCTATTTTTTTGAGGTCCAATTTTTTGATATTTTTAAAAATTTTTTCTTTTTAAGATATTTTCGTTTTTATTTTATTAATATTTGGTTAATATTTCATTAAAATTGAGCAATTATTTTTATTTTTTTCTAATTTCATTTCTTTTTTTAATTATCTTTAAAAAATTTGTTTATTTCTTATTTTTTCTTATATCTTTATTTTTTAGCGTGATAATAGGAAAATAGTTTTTCTTAATACGTGGACTACAGCTTGCTTACCAATTGTATTATCGTTTTTATTGATCTTTGTATATCTAAGTGCAAAAAGGATAAAAATTGTTGAAGAAGATGAAGAACCTTTCAAACGACCAATTCGAACGGTTAGTTATTTCCTCTCTTTTTGTGATCATATTCCAGTAAATATGATTACGATTGGAATGCCTAGAAGGAAGAGGATTTCCTGAGAAATCATTGTTTTTGAGAAATGTAAATTATTAAAGAAATATATTATTATAATGATAAACAAATATATTTATGTAGATAAGTGAAACAAATATCGGTGGAAAAATTTCGCGTAAAATTTCACTCGTCTGTGATTTAAAAAAAATTCCCGAATTAGAAACGGATTCATCGAGAGAAGATGATCGTATTGGTTAGTTGGAAAATCTTTTTTCCAGTAATTTTTTTACTTTTCTACTAAACTTTTTTGTTTTCTTTTTTTTTCCTTTCCCAGTGAAAACCGAAGGATTTTTCTCTGAACGAAAAAAATTTCAAATTTTTATATTCTTTCTTCATCAGTTTATAAAAAAATTATATTAATTATATTTTGTCTTATCAATATCATTAATTTTACAGAAGAAGAGGTTGTCAATTCAGTTAAAAATGGTTCAGAAGAAATTCAATCATACGCTCCTATTGATGAAATTTCAGCTAATTATCCAGTGTTTGATGAAGGCGATGAAAGTAATTTTATTTGATTTTAATTATATATTTTTGAATTTTTTTCTTATATATACGAAAGTCTCTAATCGACCATACCATATTTTAGCTGTTGTGCCAAAAATCAGTCCAACTCCTATGAGAAAAACGTCAAATGATATACTCTTGAGAAGAGCGTCAGTTGATGAAAATATTGAAGTATTACGAAAAAAATCGAGTATCTATAAGGATATTGGCAATGTCACTAATCTTAATTAAATTTTTGATTAAAATTCATTTTCATTTATATAGATATGATGAATATGAATACTTTTTCTTGTTTATTTTATTGGTTTTTAGATTTCTGTGTTTCCTTTTTCGCTTTCAAATTTTGCTTTATCTGTGAAAGAACCATACTTCACAAAGTTTGAAAAGGATTCTTTGGTTGATATTGCTGCACAGTTGATTGGCATTCATTTGCCTGTGTGGTTAAGTGTTATTGCATTGAATATAACTCTTGTTGAGATATTCAGTATGCATTTCCGTAAGTTTTTTTTTTTCAACTAGTTGGATTAGAATTAAGCGGTGATAAATGTAAATATAGCTTTGGTCTTAAGAAGTTACATTACTTGAATGGTATTTTTAAAAACGAAATAATTTTTTTAGATCATCATTTTTACTACCACAGTTCCACAGTCAAACTGTTTATTTTGATCATCTCAGTATTCATGGGTCTTTTTCATGAAATTCATTGGACGTGGATTGTTAATAATATCCTTGGGATATCGACTACTTATTTGCTAATTGCGCGTGTCCAGGCAAATTTTTTCTTCTAAATTAAGCATTTTTGAAATTTTATCAAAATTTTTCGTTTGTTTTTTACCTTTCAGGTAGTGAGTTATGCGGTTGGATTGTTATTTTTATTGGGCATGATTGCCTTCGATGTTTTCTGGATGTTTGGAATCGACTTGTTCTGTAATATTCCAATTTAATGTTAAATTTATGAAGAAATTATTATATTTTTATAATATAATATAATATAATATAAAATTTGATTTGAGATTATTTTGAATATCTTTTTAAAATTATAAAAGATTTAGTGGTATTAGTAGTTTTTTATGCAATTTCTTTTTAAATTTCTTCTTTGAAGATGTTTATATTATTTCTATTTACATTATATTTTTTATTTTAAATATTTTTATTTTATAATATATACTTTTATTTCTATTCATTCCTTTATCAAAGATTTATTATAAATACATTTTTCCGAATTTTCCTCGAAGTAATAATAAATTTATAGTTTGAGAGCTTAATATCTATAATTTACCTCTAATTTTATTTAATATTTTAGCCTTAGTAACGAAAGAAATACGAGCACCATTTATGCTGATCATTCCATGGGGAGTAGACAAAAAAGAAATGCTTGCTACACTCGATATTATTGTACCAGGTGATTTCTTTTTCATATTGCATTTCCATCTTTTTTCTGGAAATTTTCTTATTTTTGGTTAAATATATATCATAGATGTCATTTACATTAATAAAATGATTTCTGGGGAGTTTTTAGGAATATTCCTGAATATTATAATGAAATTTTCGGATATGTACGACGCGAAAGCATTTCCTGCATGTTTTTCAGCTGCATTACTTGGTCTTATCGTAACAATTATTTTGTCAATTCGAAATGGTAAACCTACGCCAGCAATGGTATTACCTGCAATTTTTATAATTTCTGCTTCCATATTAAGTGTTGATCGACCGATTGATCTTTGGCGTTTTGAGATAAAGCATTAATTTTCTCTTTTTAAAAGCACATTTCTGCATTTTCAAAATTATCTATTGGTTAAAGAAGAAGTATTGACTGAAATTTCTTTATTTTTCTGGATCTTTTGCCCGTTTATCATTTAAGTCAAAGCTGATAATTTACAATTTTATGAATTACAAATATTTATTTTTTAAAATAATTGCTTTTTCGTATTAAGGCCTTCATATTTAATGCATTTCTTTTAAGATTTTAATGCTCAACCAGTAAAATTTGCTTTACCCTATTTTGTCCTAAAGTTTTTTTTTTGGCTATATGTGCAAGTTTTTTTATTTGCTTGCCTGCCAGTTACTCGTTTAGTTGTATATGGATCTTTAAGTTAATAAAAAGTGGAGTGTATTTATGTAATTTCTATAAAATCATCTGGCTATTGCTATGTATTCATACAAGCGATTGCTAAGTAAGTCAGTTTTTTCATAATTTGTAAGCAAAAATGGTAATTTGTTAAATATTTTCAGCGTTAAGTGAATTTTGTTAATTAATTGAATCACATTAAATATGTAAATAAATAAAATGTTTTTTATTTTCATCAGTTTGTAAATATTATTTTACTAGATATTTACCTTTTTTTCTACCATATTTTGATTTTTAAAAAAATCTGAATTTTTCTAAATTCGGATTTTTATTTTATTTTCTTGCTACTTTTTCTATGGTTTGAAGCGAAAGTTTGATTTGTAACATAATGTGATGTTGGAAAGCAAAAAAAAGGAAAATTGATAATTTAAGTTTATATTAATAATCACACTGTGAACTTAAATCAGTAAATGAATCAGTAAATGAGTTTTAAGGAACGCCTGACAAATTTTTTTCTGGAAGAAATCAACTGATTCCAACGCCCATCTACGGAAAGCCTTAAGCACATAACATTGGGTTGGGCTCCCCTCGCTGGATCTTAAAAATAGAGTCGCTTGGTTGTAAAGCTAAAAAGGTAAAGCAGTAATCTACAATAATAACTTAGCAGTCTTCCCCTCATTTAAAACCTTGCCATCTCAGCTTTACTTCAGCAATAATTCTGACCTATAATCAATAAAAAACTCATTTCCCAAATTTTAATTAAATATTTTAGAATATTAAATATTTTATTCACATAATTTTATAATATTCTGTAATATTTGAGGAATATCTGCAGCCATTCCGCAATCTTTCTATAGTTTTCATAACATTTGCAGATAATTTCGTAATATTTGTAATATACATTATTCGCACAAGTTAGTTTATAAATTGATAAAATGATAATAACAGTGGTAGTAATATTGATAAAGAGCAATGGTAGCAATAATATTTCCTTTTTCAGATGAATATTTAATAAAATACTTTCCTTTTGTTTGACATGAAGCTAGATTCATACATTTACCAGTGTTAACGCATTCAAACATAAATATGTTGGGAACGGAAGAGGAAAAAAGGAATGAAGAAAGAAAAAACGAAAGAGGGCAGGCAAAATCAAAATCGCTCCCTCTCTTGGCGACAGCCAATACCAAAAAATTTGGAAATCTTTTTATTTATATTTTAAGAACAATAATAGAAAAATACCTCATGGAATGGGAAAGGCCGTTGAATCCAACCATCACTAAAAGGCGGCGCAAATGCGGCCAGTGTTTAGCTATTTAACGGATGCTTTTATTTGGCTTTGTTTTGTACCTGTTGCATTCTTCTAAGGGGGCATATTGTGTGGCTGTGGGCATTTCAGCTGAGTAGCATAAGCTTAAAGCTTTGCTTCTCGACGGAGATTCTAAAATATTCTGAGATTGTTTCTATTATTTTCGAGATAATTAGGTGAAAATAATCAAATCAGAAATGATAAGGAAGGGAATTTTAATATGGCAAATAGGAGTGCATCAGTTTTAGTGTATTCGAGAATTTTTTCTGTTTCCAATTTTTTCTTTGACTAAAAAATTTCCTTTATTTTATTATATTTGTTTTTAGTTTAATTCTTTTTAATTTCATTTGATTTTTTAATTTTCGAGTTTGTTTGATATTTTAATTTTGTTTTGAATGTCCATTTATCAAAATAAACAATCAACTTAAAATTATTAGAAGCACTGTTCTCATCATTTTTTTCCTTCCGATCAATCTAAAAGTCAAAAATATTTGAAAACGCGTTGATATGTCCGTTGTTTGTCAAATTTTAAGTCCTGTTTGCCGTTCATTTGCTTTGATGAATTAGGATTCTGCATAAATATAAGTAGAATCTCCATCGAGCTGTAGAGGTGAGTAAACAAATATTTAATCACTCTCGCTAAATGCCAAGATTTGTGATGGCCGGCGCAAGGGTATTTGGCTTTGGACCGGAAAATGAAGTGGTTTTTGTTACTTCCAGATTTAATGCTACGCAGAGAGAGGCTTGGGAATCCGTCACTCACTTATATCTAGATGAGCCAGCTAGCCATTAATGTCACGAGCTTTTTGAAGAAGAAGAAGCAGAATTGAATTGAACTTTTTCTGATGGGTTTAATTGTGAAAATTTGGGCTCGCGATTTGATGTCAACAAATTTATTCGGCATACCTCTGGTGATGTTGGCAACTCAGCCGTATCGTTATTTTTATCGCTATTTTTTAAGCAAAATTTTCTGCACTTTTTAGCCAGTGGAACTGGTCTAATCAGAAATGGTGAGAAAATATTCTGACGAGAACTTTTTCTTTTTCTTTTAATTATCCTCGCCATTACTGGTTAAACTTGCCACGCTGATTACAAAAGTTACACGTTTTCAAGTTCAGCCCCCCTATCTTCGACAGTAATAGAGGCCATTCTTTTTTCCATCGTCTAAGTTCATATATTGCTGGTCCACTTATACATTGAAAATCATTTTGGATTGTTGGTCCCTCTCGATTCTAACATAGTGGATTTAATAAATAATGAAATATGTGTCAATTCCTGTTGCGACGGACAATGTGCTCTAACCAGCGAAGGCGACGATCTATGATGGTACTGTTAATGGAGATGGTATTTGAGCAAAGGTAGGTGTAGGCATATGGGATTTTATCTTCCCGGCTAATCCGTAAAGTATATCTTAAATGTGAATGGTCGAAGATAGATAATTTTTTAACTTCTTCCACTCTAATCGGCCATGTAACAAAATCGAAGGAGAGCTAAACGCGATCTTTCGTTTTTATGGCGGTTTCGCCAACCACAAAGAATGCATTTTTAATCCAAGCTGTAATTTCATTTCAACTGGCTGTTTGGGTTTAGAGAACGTCCAAGATATTGAAAGTCTGATTTCTTCATGAATTAATTAAAATAGGTGTTTTATCAGTTTCTGGTTTATTTGATGAAAGGCTTTCATTTTGTTTATATTGATCATGAATCTGGCTTTCGCTTGTCGAACATTGTTTAGTATTATTTCGTCATAACCGTTGGCAAAAGAACCACATCAGCGTATTCAGGATCTTTGATATTGTGCTGTGGATTTGTACACATCGTTAGTGCCAGCAAATAGTGTCCATAATCCAATCCATCATGAATATTGTATGAATTTTGTTGAATATTGCATGGAAAAGGGCGCATCCGTGACAATTTTTATTTGGATTTGTCAGTACCTCATAACAGACATATGCTGATGTATAATGGTAAAATAACTTTATGGGTCAAATGATCTTTGGAATGCCTTCATCATTCCATCATTCTCCAAAGTGTGTTCTATTAATTGAATCGAAGGCTGCAAAATCGATGAAACAAGTGACGATATGTTGCAGATATTTGAAGCGATGTTTCAATACGGTTCTTAGCGTGGATATCTGGTCAGCACAATCCTGGTGTAAATCCAGCTTGACTAGGGTGTATACTGCTGTCCCATACTGCCATAAGTCCATTCAGTTTGAGGAAAGCGAAAGTTTTTCCGGAGATGTCAATAGTTTTTCTTAATTCCTCGATAGTTGGCGTAATTTATCTAATCATTTTGCTTCAGCCATCTGCTATTATTTCTTTCTACCAGAGAATATATTTGTATTGAAATGGTGATATGAAGGACGATAGATAACATTTGAAGAATTCAGCCCGAAGTTCATTTCCGTAAGTTTCATTAAGCTTCCCGATAATAGAGATTTTCTGCTGAAACGGCTCACAGTTGCAGATATATGGCTCGACGATTGATTTGTTCCGGAAAAAGGTGGTGTGTCGTGGTTGTTTGGCATCAAAGATTTCTTTTCACCTTATAAGACGATCCTTAATAACTTTAACAGGTACACCATTACTACTCCGTATCGTTTCATTATCGTTCCTAGAGTTAAAGGAAGGCGAAATAGTTTTCTGTTATCTCCTAATTGAGGAGCCAGCATAATTTTCAAGATTTTCATATTAATTGTTATTTCTGTTCCGCCTTACTGCTGTCGTTCTTTTTCTTCGAATTTTCTTTTTACGACGCACGAATTACAAATTAGATTTTATGCATTAATAATTGGTTACTTGAAACAAATCTTTATTTATTTTTTCCATCTTTTTTTTTCTTTGCGCTACTTTTTTTGCTTTATTAATTCTTTATTTTTATATTATTGTAAAATCAACGATTTTCCCATATCATATAAAGAGCTTCTTTATTCATTTTTTATTTTTCAAACATTATTGCATTAATTTTTTTTCTGTTTTTGTTCGATTTTTATATTTTATTCAACAATAAATTGTTTTATTCAAATTATAGCTTTTGTTTTATTTAATTTTACTATGGTAAAAATGCTTTTTAATTTAAAAAGTTAGCAATTTCAAAATTTAGAAATTTTAAAATTTAGAAATCTTTCTTATCTTTTTTGTTTTTTAACTGTTTTATTGGTCAATTTTTTTCCGGCATGGATATCGACGGAGATGTCGATGGAATTCTTGCGCAAGAACTTTCGCGAATGGGAACAAATGATCGCGAAATTATTATTAAACAATTTCAGCAATTAATTGGTGGAAATCTTGAGCAATGTCCAGAAACATGTACATTTTTCCTTGAAATGAACAATTGGTACGTAAATCCTCGGAATTATTTAATATTTTTTTGAATTTTTTAAAAATTTTTTTAGGTTTTTTACATATTTTACGGTAATTACTTTAAGAATCCCTTATGAGTGTCCAATAAATGTCACGAATCTTATTGGGAAAGTGGTGAAGTATTAATCATATGAGTCCTTTGAATTCTGTGAATACCTTCATAAATCTAATGAAAACTTCCTTTGTTTGATAAAAGCCCCGATCGCCTCGATAGTATGGCTATGGATCTTTGTGAAAATCCTATGATATTTAAGCAATCCTTGTAAGATGAAGTGTAAACACATAAATAAATGTCCTGCATAATAAGTTATGTCGGAGATATGTGGAATGGTTCGGTGGTTTGTTGCTCAGTTGGGAGAGCCGGTACTGAGTTCTATTCCCAGCAGGAGTAAACCTGTCCAAAAATCCGGGTGATGATGGTGACTCACCTGTATTTCTATCGTTATGAGAATCTCTAGCATATCTGTACAATACGAGAAGCGAGTGAAGCGAGCTTAACCAATAATGGTGAGGACTCTTAAAAAAGAAAATGGTATAGAATCAGCATATAAAATTAAATCTTTTTCAGTTCAGATTTTTTCAGATATTTGAGTACATATTGCCAAAAATCTCATACACATAGTTAAAATTACTTTCTTATAGTTACATTTAATTATGCACAAAATTATTTGCAATACGTATGAGTATATAAAATTTCTATGTTCTTTGTTGATTGTTTGTGATTAAAATTGACCTAATAGTTTTTCTTCAAGGAATTTACAAGAAGCAGTCGGTTCATATTACGATTATGGTGCAAATGGAATGACTGGATGTCCACCCCAATATACTACACATTTGCCATCAATGCTATTTATTAAGGACATCACGATTGGCGAAGTATGTCGAAAAGCTTGATTAATGCTTTATGAAGAATTTTTATGACATCAATCACTGAAAATGTACTGATCAGCAAAAACCGATCGGTGCAGAAAAATGAAAAAAACTTGATTCGGCATTTTTATATTTTAGCCTTGTTTTTTCTTAAATTTTAGGGTGAAAGTGTTCCCCCTTCAACTCGTTTCACGAAAACATGGCGTGTTAAAAATACTGGTGCAGAATGTTGGCCATCTGGTTGTTTCATTAGTTTCATGGAAGGTTAACTTTAAAATGCTTTCTTTATAATTTGATTTATATTATTCTTCTAGGTGGATATTTGAATATTTTTATAGGTGCTCAGTTATCTGATGTTTCGCGGCTGTGGGTCGCATCTTTAAAACCTGATGAGGAAGGTGATATAAGTGTGGAAATGATTAGTCCTGCAGATAAAGGAATATATCAGAGTAGGTGGCAACTAAATACGATGGCTGGAATTCCATTTGGAGGTGATTTTTCGTTATTCTACATAGATGTTTATTGCTCTTTATCTGTTTTTACAAAGTGCAACAAGTCTTTACTCCAATATATATGTATATATATATTTTTTTTTCTTTTACAATTCAGTAAAAATCATTCAATTACAGAATCGATATGGTGCATTGTAACTGTCGATGATATGGGAATACTGGATATAACGCAGAAACTAGCATCAGCACCTCTTGACGATTTTTCTTCGACTAGCGGAACTTGTTTAAATTCTTTTTCACCAGCATTTATCGATAATAAAAATTTTGAGTTAAGGAAGGTTTGTACCGCTTTAATTAAATCAAATTTTCCTTTAAAAAAATTTAAAATTTGCTGCTTTTTGCAACTATGAGATGTGGAATTATTTTGTCCTGTTGAATGGTGTGGTGCATAGGTTCGTTCTTTCGTTCTTTACGAGGTAAATGGTATTATTAGGTATTTTAACAGTTTCTTTCCTTGATAAAATTTCAAAATTTTGAAAAAAATTTTGAAAAATATTTTTCTCCTACTTTTATTTTCAATTTTTTTTTATTATTTGCCATTTATTGCCACTAATGCATTTTATCACTTTCCTTTTTTCTGAATGGGGTGATATATGTGTGCTTTTGGATTTGAAAAATTTATTTATTGTCTTAAAACCATGATATGATATCAGGATAAATCACAAGAAATTGAACATACGGATGATAATAACATGGATAATATTGCTTTTGACCCTCCTGAAAGCCCGAATGGAAGTTCATCATTATATAATGCTGTCATCAGTCGTCTGCCACAGGTTTTTTGGGAATCATTTAACTGAAAATTAATGTAAAGCTGCCTAAAAGGCGAAAATCGAGATGGAAGGATAAAAAAGAATAATTTTAACTCTTTTTATTTCATTTTCATTTATCTGCTTATTTTATATTGCAGAACTGGATCTTATCTAATCGTCCAACGTCTGTTGCTGCATCAGAACCAATAAACATTTCATTCATGGAAGAGTCACCAGAAGTTCCGCCATGCACCCCTTGCACTCCTCCTTAAATTCATATATCTGAAACAATGGATTTATTTTCTAATACGCGGTATATTATATATCTTTTGTTCCATTTAATGCTATTCATTTATTATTTGAGGTTTGGGCTTATCTTATAGCATTTATATTAAGATGAACGAAATATGGCATAAATTTTTTGAAATACAATAGCATTTGACCTCATTATTTGTTATATATCTTAATCAGTCCTGTTGATTTTTAATATTTTTTTCGGGATAAAAAGAATTTTGTTCGATTTTATAAAACTTAAGCACTCAAGTGTAAAAGTAATTTTGTAGATTAGGAATTGATTTCTCAATTTGTCATTTTTTTTCATTGTTTTATATAGAAGCTCTGTAAAAATTTTAAAAAGCATGCTTTTTTCGTTTCATTAGGGTCACATCTTTTAAATTCCTCTTTTCGTTGAATTTGAATACTTAAAATAATACCAGTGTATAAAATGTGGATAATATGATGTGAATTATTCACATAAATAACCAATTTTTATAAAAAGTCTTCGGTGTTCATTAATTTTTCGCCCCTTCTTTGACCCTCATTATTATTTTTTTTATTTCTACCTTACATTCATTGCTACTTGACATTTGTAATTTTATTTCGATTATAAATAAAACATTACCTCTTCTATTTTTTTATGGTTTATTTTTCTGATTTTATTTAAAGAATTCGATTAACAGTTGAAAGTTTTCCAAAAATTTTATCCTAATCCATCTTCTTAATCGCTCTCGATGTACATACCATACTAAAATGGCTATTAGAATAGTTATGTTGTAAATTTTTCTTAATCTTATAATTTTTGATATGATGAAATGGAAATAAATATGCCCAAGTTATCTTTCAAAGGTTTTGTTGATTAAGATTTATTGAATGATATCCGTAAATTGAAATTTCAGAAGTCAGTCACCATTTCGACCATTTGGTCTGAAAAAAGAATGCGCAAAAATTAATATTTTTCAAGAAAGGGAGGAAAAAATTTTTGAACTAATCACTACTTGAACTAGAAGAGAAAAAAGATGCAAAACAATTTTTTGGAATTCATCAGTTTAATTTTTGTAAGAGCATAGTTAAGCGAAGCGAAAGAAGTGAAGAAGTTTGTATGAATTTCTAAAATAAATTTGAGGTTTTTTTATTTAATGCTGAAAAGTAATAGAAATTTGAAAGTTGAATGTTGACCGAACTGAAGTTGGCGAGCAACGAGCAAATAAATCGTACCAGTCGGCGATTGGCTTCCTCCTTTCCAATTCAAGTAGTTGTTATTAGTCGTCTACTGAATCTCATCCACTCGTCACTGTGGCTCTGTTTTTATTTCACCGACTGTAAAATTGCCATATTGCCATAGCGTTTTATTCATCGTCTAAGAAAATTCCAGTCCATTTGAAATTTGAAACTGAGTGAGAAAGAACATCTCAACTGGAATTGCTTCTGTCGAGAAATGTTCCATCTAATATGTTTATTAATATTGCTGCCTTTAACGTCACCGATGACAGTTCTAATATTCCTACTTGGTACAACGTCGTTTGAAAGAAATACATTGGAATATCTGGCAGTACAATTAGCAATGCGTAACCATAGAACAATTACTGTCAAACCAATTCTAATACCTGAGGAACCAAGATTAATTACGCCTAAATTACATTTCGTTCATGAGAAAACATTGAAAAATCTTCTTCCGAGGTGAATTTTTTTCCAGGATATATTTATAAGGAAAATTCGGAATTAAATAAAGGATAATGCTTTCTTTTAATATTTTCTAGTTCAAATTATCAAGCAAGTCGGTAAATTTTTAAGTTCTGAGCCGTTAGATAAACAGTCATTTGGCAAAAATGTAATGATATATCTTCAGTACCATCAAGAAATTCTTAAATTAGAAAAGAATAAAGTGAAAATATTTAGAGAATTTTATGAACCACTTGAACAAATTGGTAATATGCCATGGCAAGGAGAATATTCACTTGAAAGACATTTGTTCCCTTATTACGTTGCCCATAATCACTCATGTTACAAGGTTGAAATACTAATTTTAAATAATAAATTTTGCGAATTACGAAGTGAGTACAAACTAATTTGCACCATATTCATTTATTTAAACTAAACAGGCCGTGCTGAAGTTAATCAAAGATTCGGTGGGGGGTGGGGGGGGGGGGGGGGGGGGGGGGGCAGAATAAGAGTAATATGAATGAACTAAATAATAAGCAATGAAATGAGAAGAAAAAACAATAATTCGATCGAAGCCTTTCCATTTTTCCCATAAAATCTTGTGAATGACCTTACTAAGTTTCTTTTAAAACCGGAAACAGATAGAGTAAGAACAACACTGGCAATTTGGCAGTTAATATTGTAACGAAAAAAACGCGAGACAAAACATTGGTCGTGCGAATAGGCTTGCGCAACTCCGATCCGTTGGTAGCATTAAAATTCAAGTTGAAGTCATAATAATTAGTACATTTCAGGTTAATCCGGCTAAACAAAATTTTTGCAAGTATAAATCAGATATAAAAAATAAAAAATTTTTTTTTATTCCACGCAAGTGGTCATGATTATCCTTAATCTTGGGATCTCTACCAGAGGTTTGTGTTACTGAGGGTTCTGCGCAGTACCTTAGTTGTTCCTAATAGCGCTCTTCTGATAATAGGGACCTCTGATGTCGCTTCTGGAATCTACTTTTTTAGTTTAGGGACCACAGTTCCAAGTGCTCCATTTGTCACTGGAATTACTTTGGCCTTTACTTTCCACATCTCCCATTCCTCTTTCAGTCCTTGGTATTTCTTTAACTTCTCATATTCCTTCTTTCTAACGTTCCTATCGCTCGGTATTGCTATATCAATCACCAGTGCTGATTCTTTCTTTTCTATTACCACGATATCTGGTTGACTGGCCAGTATTTGTTTTTGTCCAGATAAAGAAGTTCCACAGGATCTTCGCCTCGTTCTCTACGATTCTCTGAAGAATCTCCCATTTAGTCTTGGGAGAGTGTAAGCCGTATACGGACAAAATATTATCTTAAATGATGCCAGCTACTGGTTAGACCTTTAATTATACTTTCCCTGCTTTCATTTTACGTCCTGCCACTATATCTTGGGCTGTTTTTATATACTATATGCTAAATAAATGATGGAATGTTAATTTAAATTCTTAGATAAGTTCTGAAAATTTTGATTGTAGATAAATTCAGATGATCAACAGTGATTTGATGGATAATTTGAAAAAAGAAAATATCGATGTTGCCATTGTCTATGTTGGAAACCCATGCTTGCTTGGCATCGTCTACACTTTAAAAATTCCTTTCATATTTTTTGATGTTGAAGGTAATTTTGATAACTTGATTCTTTAAAAGGAGCCTCAGTAATTCTAATTGCAGGATTCACTGATGAAACTCGTATAGCATCAGGCGTTCCATTGATAACTGATATTCCTCCATCAAACTGTCATTTCCTAAATTCAAAATATATGTTTTTGCGGCGAGCTTATAATGCCATATGTGCTCTTCGCGAAGCATTTGCTCAGAGCGGATTTTCATTATTAGCGAAAATCATTTCCAACCGATATGCTTATATGGATGGTCCAATTACTGATATGTTCCGTAATGATTATGAAATACGAAAAAAATATGGTTCTTTTCCGGATGTGAATCAAGTAGGATCATTTTCTTTTGTACAAAAATTAGTACAAAAATCTTATTTGTACTAATGAAAGGACTTTATGACCTATAGAAGGGGAGAATTTTTAGTCTAAACATTGCGGATGATTATTTTTAAGTTGCAAGTGGGTGGTAACTAAAGTCATAGATGAACCAAATTGAAAAGTAAGAAAAAATTTTTTTCTCACCATCTGTGGGTGATGATTATCATTCTAAATCTCAGGTCCTCCACCTAAAGGCCTTAGAGATTAAGGGCTGCGCACTATCTTATCCTAATAATGCACTCTTCTGGATAAAGTCCTTATCCACATCTTCTCTAGTGCTTCTTTCAGTTCCTGGTATTTCTCATATTTCTGCTGCAACTTGGCATTGTTGTATCTATTACCAGTGCTATTTTCTGATTCTTATCTATTGCTACGATATCAGGTTGATTGGCCAATGCTTGTCTGCCTGAAATCCCACAGGATCTTTACCTTATTATTCCCTACCACTTTCTCCTACTTAATCTTGGTAGGGTCTAAGTCATATAACAAATAGATGTTCTTGTAGATTATGCCGGCTAATTGTGCCTTTATACCTTCCAGTATATGTTGTTCCTCCTTCCACTTTACATGCTGCCGCTATGTATGGATATTTCTGAGCTTTATGCACAATCTATACCTGTCCTTATAATAGTTCTCTGCCTCAATAGATCCGATATCCGCAGCAGGTCTCCAAGGATCTCACTTGAATATTTGCTATTACTTGTGTGAGAGCAATCCTAGGAACAAGAAAAAAATTTCTTTCTCTTTTTCTATAATCCGAATTCCATCTTTAATTCCAATGTCCTCTCTAAGTTAGATGGATGGGCGAATCAATCGTTCATTTTTTGCTCTTGAATTTGTATCCACATTTGCTTCTGGTGATTGCCTGAATGAAGGGTTTAGAACTATGCAGAACAATAGGGGAGATAATGCATCGCTTTGGTTTATGCCGCATGATAGCTACTCATTCAAGCCGTTTCGAGTTGATTTCAAGTGTCGTTTTCCATAATCCCACTGAATGTCTTTAGAGTCCTGTTGACTTTATACAGAATCAGACATTCACAGATCCTTGTGTGGAGCATTGATTCATAGGCAACTTTCATATATCAATGTAGTTGTATAAGTTGTATTGGTCGGGATTTTGAATCTAGAGCGAGTGCCTTCTCTATGAGCAGCTGATTTTGTTCTCAATGCATCTTTGAACTAAAATACTGGCTCATATGATCATGAAACTTGATGGTTATAATACATGATAGGACTTTCCACATTGCGAGTAGGTAGATTATTGGTCGTTTGGAAGGTGTTATTGCCTCATAAGGGTCTTTCATGATCAGTATCTTCCTTGTTTTATCCAGTCTGGGTGGATGTCTACCACAAGCAGCTGGTTTACCTATGTTATTAAACACTCATTAGCATTTTTTAGCCAGTAGGTATGAATATTCCGACCAGGTGCTATCCAACTTTTCATATTTTTGAATCGTTGTTGGATGTCAGCAATTGTGATAACAGCTGGTTTGCATTGATCTTATGAATCTTCTCCATATATTCTTCCAGTATTGCATAGTTTCTACTATCTGTTATTATATATTACTATACTACTGCAATGCAGTTGAGAATACGGTTCTTTGGAGAACAGGGCATTTATCTTTTTAGCCTATGCTTCTCTAGTGCATCTGCTTAGTCAGTGCTGTGAGTGATGCTTTATTTAGCAATCTCAGGACATCTGATGGTGTATAGCCCTTGTATTTTCCCAGCATCCGGATAATATTTTTTATTCTTTACATCTTTCTATAATTCTATCAGCTGGTTATATATATACATATACGAGACATTTTCAAATTAACACTAAAGGCTATTGTACGGCTCATTTAAATATATAATAATCGTAAATTTAGTTTATAGTTTATTTATGCATATTTATTCTATTTTTCTCTTTGAATATTTACTATTACTACTGCAAAATATACTTCTTCGCATCGAAATTCATTGCATTTTACCTAATAACCGTTCTTCAGATTAAACAACAAGCAGAAATATACTTCATAAATACGGATGTATTAATAGAATACGATTATGCTCTACCAGTTAATGTTATTCCTGTTGGTGGTCTTCACATCGATAGTGCCAGGCCATTGTTTTCGGTGAATAAATTCCATACATCATCACTTTTGTTTTACATATTTGAGCGTAAATAATCAAAATCAGCAGGGCAGCATTTTAACCACTTTTATAATCGTTGGAATAATTTTCTATTTTGATATTTAAGTGCAGCCAACTTTTAGACGTGGAATGAGAGTGCAAATTTAGCCGATGATGGTATTCTAGTTGTTTCACTCGGAACAAGAGCAAATTCATCGTCAATGACGCATGAGCAAGCAAAATCAATTTTTTCTGTCCTAAAACGACTAGAAACATATAGAATATTTTGGAGAATTGGACCCACTCTACATTTACCCGGAATTGACCTAAATTCTTTACCTCCTCATATAAATGTTACAACTTTTATGCCACAAAATGATCTTCTTGGTATGTTTCAATTTCCCGTCTGAAAAATATTGCCATCGAAATTTTTCGTCAAACAGAGTCTTTTTTCATGATAGTTACAGCACATAAGCGTACTCGTTTGTTGATTACAAATGGTGGAATGCACAGTATAATGGAAGCAATTGTGCATGGTGTACCAATTGTTGGCATTGCACTATTCGGTACAGATCGCTATAATCTCGCAAAAATACAAAATAAAAATTTGGGCTTATTTCTTGAAATTACGCAACTAACCGAAAATCGTTTATATCAACTGGTTATAGAAGCTCTACAGAATCCAAGGTTAGTCAATTAAATTATTCGCTAGCAAGATTTCCTAAAAGCCAGAAGGCATTTTAGCTCGATTAATATACAAAATGACATTCAATTTTTTACTCTTTTTCCTACCTTTTATTGTTTCTAACAATAACCATACTGATTATTTCTATAAGATAATTCTTCATCAAAAAGCCGTTCTTTCGGACATGGATTCACAGCACCATCCGGATTACTCCGGTTTTAGAGAAGTTGTTTGTCTTTATTTTTTCGCACTTTTTTCATCAGATTATTTCAGCGATCAATAAGGAACTTATTTGTATTTTTACCAACTAACTATGAATGTTAAAGGAATTCATTTTAAGATATCAAATGGCATCAAAAAAAATATCACAAATGATAAAAGAACGACAATCAAGTGCACTTAATATTGCAATGCAATATATAAAATATGTGGGACACTATCGAATGCCTAAATCACCAAATCGTCAACGAACTCTCCGTTTTTTTCAATATTTAAATCTTGATATATTTATATTTACTTTTATTTCCATCATTATTTTTCCATCTACTTACTTATTTCTACGGATTTTTAATAATTCTTTGCAGAAAGTTGAAATATAATTTCAAAATATGTATACTGTATGCATTTGTGCTTGATTATGCGAACTATAAATATTAATATTAAGTGGTTGGCGCTCACCATTTATGACTGGACTCATTTCACTAGTTGGTTAGCTCGATGAAAAATTTTTGCCAAGCAATCACATGTAATGAAAAGTGGGTCCGTAGCAAGCAAGATTTTTTTAAAATGACATTTTAATTCTCAGGAAGCAAGTTGAGAAGTTTTATGAGAATTGTTAGGCGGTAAACTGAACTAATCGGTTATCTTATCGCATGCATTACCATAGCATAACTTGACCATTTGGAGAAATCCAAAAAATTATATCGATCTTTCCCACATTAATTATTTTTTTATTTTGATCATGCCTTTATAGATATGATTTATATTTTAAAAAAGCATTAGGTGATTAAACAAAGTACAAAAAAATTCCTTCGAATTTTTATCAAAATCTCTCGATATCCTAAGTCCTTGTCCTATTTTTTTATTCTCCTTTTTTTCCTGTTGTTTTCATAGAGTTGCAAGAATTGCAAAAATTGCAATTGAATTGCAAAATTTTTTCATGATCTAAGCGCATAAAAATTCATTAAAATGCAATATTTTATTGCATTTAATTAGAAATTCATTGGAAAAATAGATAAAAGTGGAAAAAAGAAAAACCACAGGAAAAAATGGAAAAAACAAAAAGATTTGTTCCTTTGGTGCAATATTATTTTGTAATGTAAAAATATGAAAATTTCGAAAATTTTGTTTCCTGAACGGTCGTTTTTCGTTTTCGCACTGCTATTTTCTTAAATTATTTCTGCAACATTAAAAGTTACTTACATAAATTATAAATTAAGCCGTTTTCTTTTATCTAACAAATTATAAATTAAATTATTTATATGTATAATTTGTATATGTATAATTATATTATATATGTATAGTTTTATACATGCATATATATATATTTCTTTTATATTTCTTTTGTTTTTTAAATTTTTTTCTTTTTCTTTTGATTATCTTTGAATTTCTCTTTTTTAAATTTAATTTATCTCTATTTTTTGACAGAAGTAAACCTATCATGGTGTGAAAAATCCAGGTGCCTGCTAGGAACTCACCTGTATCTCTATCCCCAGGTGACACTGTGGTGAAAAAGTCAGGTCTCTTTGACGCGATGTTCGTATCTTCCGACATGCATGATGCTTCTGACCCGGTGGTACATGCGATAAACATACTATCCAGGAGTAATAATTATAATAAAATAATTTCAAGCATAGAATTTGCGAACTGAACCGAGAAAAATAAGTGCATTTCAAACTGTATTATCGAAACACCTTAGTGAAATGAATATCAATGATCTCCACAACGGCGAAGAGATATGCATACAAAAGTCAACCACTTCAACACTAGGGTATACTAGTATGAAGTGCGCTTAGGTATCAGAAGCAACTGTCCAACTATCTGAAAAAGCTGCGAAAGAAGGTCAGGAGATCCTGGTTGAGATCCATCGGATTACAACGACAGCAACACGACGGAACAAAAATCGCTATTGGAGCGATATGGCCTTAAGAATGAAAACAGCGGCTCGGACAGGTGATAATAGGAAACTGTTTCGCCTTCATCGCTAAGCAACTATAACTCGACAAGGGGTAAGTGAAATGATACGGGATAAAAATGGGGTGCCTATTAAAGCTTAGGATCGCTTCAGAAGATGGAAAAGTTTTTTTGAGGCCAAACATAACCATGAATCGTCATTTATTGTCCCGGATATAACTGATTCGTCCATCGAGCCTTACGTTTGCAAATGTGGACCGCTAACAGAAGAGGAAATAATCTCGTATTCCATAAAGCCAGTAAAACTTAACTAAGAAGATGGTCATCGGGCCGAACTATTCAAATGTTGTCCATCATCATTCATGTTGTGAAACTTTAATTTGCGATTAACAAACACGAATAATTCGAATTTTTGTTTATTAGAAATAATTTGATATTAGGCGAAATTCGTTACAGTTGAATTACGGTTGAATTTAAGAGGTATTTGGAGCAACCTTGAATAGGCAAGTAGAAGATAAAATGTAACAGCATTGAAACATTAAGCATTTTTACAACGGAACGACGAAAAGAAAAAAAAGAAGACCCAAATCCGCCCATCCCAAAAAGCATTGCCGATCGTCATTATATAGGGTGATAAAAAAAGGCGTGATGAGAAACAGGAAATCGTTGGTGGCTTTAGTGTGAGAAACAGGAAATCGTTGGTAGCTTTAGTGTGAGAAACAGGAAATCGTTGGTGTCTTTATTATTTGTTATTTTATAAAATTGAATTAATTTCCTTTCGGTTTCCCGACATTCCCGAGGAAACGGGATGAAAACTATTTACAGAAAGAACAATGGGAAGGTATTGAATGGTGTTGGGTGGGTTTTGATCCTCTAATTTGGGTGTAGGAACCCGTACAAGTTCCATAGAATTGTCTACCCTTCGATTTGAGGTTCTAATACAAAAGGAACGATAAAGAGATTGAATTAATTCAAATTTTAGTTTGATAACAATTATCATGATTAATATTACAAAAACAATTATACCAAAGGTGATCAATTTCCAGCGTTTCATAATTTCTGATAATTCTTGTTCCATTAATTCAGTGGTTTCATCGAATTGGGTCTCTAGTTGATTTACCAGTTCTTCCCCTTGTTCAACTATTAGCTCCCGTAAAGATTCCTCTCGTGTTAGACCATGTACTGGATTCGTTATTCCGAGTTTTTGGGCTAATATTTCTAAATCTGTATTAATTTTCTCAATTTCGAATTTGCTCACTATACCTGCTTTGAAATCTACAGTTTTCCATTCAGAGGCATTGATACTACAGGGAGCTATTAACAGTTTTCCCTTAGTTCGTTTTGCTATTATATCGTTTCTTTGCAACAATGTTGGATTGATAGTCGATAACCATTCGATCAATAACAATAAATTGTTTCTGTTTTGGCAGCTTCTCTGATACAGTTTAATCAATTGTTTCCTAAATTCTATCTGCAACACGTTGAAAAGGTATTGATATTTAATATTCCTTGGATCAAATTCATTTAATCCTGTTTCTTCCCTTCCACTCACTTCCTTCATAATTAACTCACTCTCTGGATCAGACCTTTGTTTTCGTAAGTTGTTGGTTAAATTGTTGGTTCCTTTGTCGATGATAATAACGCCGTTCATTAAGTATGGCTCGATAAAATTACAATTTGAATTCATGATGGTTCTGTTTTCTTTAAATATGAATGAGGTCTGCAGTTTGTTTATAATCACATGACTTCCGGATAGTTGGGCATCAAATTCACCAATTTTCCTGTACGGACATGATTTTCCCACTTCTTCTCCATCCCATAGGACAATACCATTATTGGTCACACACTTCCCACTGATTGCAGTACAACGTTCAACATTATCAAAATCTGATAGTAATCCCTTACCGTCGTAAAGGAATATCTTGCCCTTTATAAATATGAAGTTAGTGGTTGATTGACATTTAACTCCTAACCAACCATAGGAGTACTGTAATTCGTTATTTGTAATCCATTTATTAGGTGATACTTGAATCAATTCCTCTCCGTCAGTTTTCTTTTGACGATCTAAATTTCTACAGAAATGTGAAGATGTAGCTGAAGTAACTGTTTGATCAGAGATTACAGATAATGAGAATCTAAAAAAAACTTTAGTGCATACTGTTCGTGTTACATTGCTACATTTGATAGCAGGTATCCGTACGTGGGTTCGTGTGTACACTATGACTTTGTTCATTGTGAAGTTTTGCTCTGCAATTTCATCGCAATTCCACCTTTGTGGGATATTAAAAGGAATACCAACTCTCCATTCACACTCCTTCATTGGTTTTGCTTGGACTGATAGTATAAAAATGATCGAAATCAAAACCAAACTGCTTATTGTCCAATTTGACTTACAGATAGTTTCTGCTATAGTTCGTTTATTTGTTGCACTCCTAGTCCTTGAAGCGATTGGTTCCTCTTATCCAACTTCTTGTATTGATTCTTCAGATATAGGTGGCTGATTATCCAAATTGTCGTTGATTTCTAGAGGGTACAATACGTTTATTGGTCGACTTAGCAGTTTTCCATGTGGCATTTCTATTATAGCGTTCCTGGCCTCTCCATTTCTTCCCCTTTTAATTTCTTTTATTCTCGCTAATTTCCACATACCACGAGGAATTTCTGGTTCGTTGACCAACACGATTTCGTTTTCATAAGGTCTTCTTACTTCTGCACCTTTCGGGGAATTGTGTTCTCTTTGAATTCGCTCTCTGAGGCTAGTTAAATACTCCCTTTTCCATATTTCCCAGAATGTGTCTAAAGTCTTGAGAGTGTTTGACCAATACCTAACAAATTTTTCCTTGGTACTTAGTCTATGAAGATGGTATTCTTCTTCATCATTGTCATAAGGAATTTGAGATACTAGAGACGCATTAGGTAAAATGAAATCAATCGGTCGTATTATCACGTAATCTTCGAAGTTTACATACGTTTTTGAAATTGGCTAGCATTATCACTTAAAACTAGGGAGGTCTCTTCTAGCAATAAATCTTCTTAGTACGCGTATAAAACTTTCGGCAGATAAATTATCTACCAGTTTTAAATGTATTGCTCTTGTCGTAAAACATGTAAAAAGAGCCACCCATCTTTTGACAATCCCAGTTTCATTTTTGATAGAAAGAGGACCAAGATAGTCCAGTCCAATATTTTCGAATGTTCGAGTACGTTCAATTCGGGTTTTTGGAAGATTAGGCATAATTTGTAACTTAAATGGTTTTGTCTTTCTGCATTTGTTTAATACTCGCTTGACTTCAGTTCTCCCTTTGGGTATCCAATATTCTGTTCTCAATTTTGAGAGCGTGTGAGCAATACTTGCATGGTAGAGTTTCTCATGTTGGCGTTGTATAAAAATTTCAATTATGTGATTATGTCTCGGGAGATAGATTAAATGCGAATTATTTTCATGCTGTTTTAAATTGTCTAATCGGCTTCTGAATTTCCAATAACCGTCCCTTTCATCGTAGTACAGATTCCATGTTTATTTCTTCTTCAGTTATTCCTTCTGATTGCGCTTGCTTGATCAAGACTATATTTGCTAATATAAGATTTGCTACTGTTAGTTGACTTCATACATCCGATAAGGAGTGTAACCATGAAAGTTTCCCCTTTGTTATGGAATTTATGAATTTCAACGCCCATGCAGTAGTTCTCAATAATCTTGACCATTTACTAAAACGGCTCGCGTCTATAAGTTTAAAAGTTTTCTTTATAATAACTTGTTTTGTAACCTTTGTTACGGAGATTTCGTTTCCTTCTTCATTTTCGTATTCCCCTTCAAAATTGTATTCCTATTGCGGCCAGTTCGTTTCTTCTTTTACTAACCATGACGGTCCGTTCCACCATGTTTCATAATTTCCAAGTTTTGCTGAAGAAAGTCCCTTTGTTGCAATATCGACTGGATTATACTTACTTGGAATATAACGAAATAGAAACTTTGCCTTTCTTATTTCTTCTACTCGATTCTGTATAAATTTTGGCAGTAGTCGGGAACAGTTATGTATCCAATGTAATGCGCATTTCGAGTCAGACCATAGGGTAACTGGCACCTTTTCTAGATTCAGTTGATTTATAACAAAATGGGCTGCTCTTACTCCAACGATTATTGCCAATAATTCCAATCGGGGTATGGTGATACCTTTAATTGGTGCGATCCGTGATTTTGCGAATATAAGCGATGTTTTAACACCTTGAATTCCATAGTTTCGCACATATATAGCTGCAGAATAGGCCAGACTTGACGTGTCTGTGAAAACATGGAACTGCATTTGTTCTGAGGGATGTATTACACACCGTGGTAGTTCCTTTACGTTTGTTGACCATTCTTTTATTAGACATTTCCAAGTTTTTTCATCTTCTTCACTTATAGATTGATCCCAAGTGTAGTTCCTTTTCCATAAATGTTGAAGGAATAGTTTGAATTGCATCATAGTCGGAACAAGGAATCCTAGTGGATCATACTGAGCTGCTATAAATTG